TAAAAACAAACGGAATTACTTTCCTGTTTTCTTTATGTACTTCGTCATGTAAGAAAGTGCTCCAAACGAATAAAATGTTCATTCTACACCTTAATTATTCACAACTGATCCTCCCTAAAAGTTTCCATGAAAAACTACTCATGTTTGAGACAACTTCCGGTTTTTCGGTTTGCACTTCCGGTGATAATAAATTGCATGGTTATGGTTTATCTAACATGCGCATAAGCCAAACATTTCTGTAAAAAGAAAAAAACTGTAACAATTCACTTTTCTGCATCGCTTCCTGTCACGACCGGAAGTGACGGCAACGTACGATTTTTACATGATGTAGATAAACTGAGGACTGACTATCAGTTCTAAAAGTTTTAGACTACAGCAATGTACTGTTTCTGAGCAATTTGGTAAACAAAATCTCAATTTGAGGACGGAAAAACACGCGACCGGAAGTGCATTTTCCTAAGATGATTAACGTCACACTAGACAATTGCAATCTCAATAACATATATAAAAATCTTTTCAAAAAACTTTATCTATAAGCGATACTTTTGGGAAAGATAAAAATCCCAATTACATAGTTTTCTCTTATAACCGGAAGTTGTCGTTTTTTGTTTCCAATGAGACCAACACATATAGAAACTGTGAAAGAGATTCAATTATATGATGCAAGTTTTATTTCAAAAGAGAAAAGTTGAAATTTTTTATTTCTTTGATCACTTCCTGTGACGACCGGAAGTGACGGCTGACGCTATTAACCCAAATGGTTTTGCCTACTCCTTAAGTTCTATTACTCCTATAAGTTTGGTGTCTTAATCTCTTCCTGTTTTTGAGATCTCACTTGCACAAATTCTTATTTTGCGGACAGTAAACACGCGACCGGAAGTGAATTTTACCAAGATATTTGACGTTACTCTAGACATTTGCAGTCTAAATAATATATTAAAAAACCATTTCAAACACTTAATCTATAAGAGATATTTATGGGAAAGTAAAATGCTCAAATTATGTATTTTTTCGCTTATAACCGGAAGTTGACGTTTTTGTTTCCGGTGGGACCAACATATTTCAAAACTGCGAAACAGATACAATAATGCCATGCAAGATTAAATCCAAAAAAGAAAAGTTGAAATTTTTGATTTCTTTAATCACTTCCTGTGACGACCAGAAGTGACGGCTGACAAATTTAAACATATTCTGCAAACGTACTTGTCATGATCTATAATCCCTGAAAGTTTGAGGTCTTAATCTTTTACCGTTTCTGAGATATCGTCCGGACATGATCTCTTTTGAAAAAACGAAAATTGGACATATCTGACGACCGGAAGTGAATTTTGCAAAATCCTTAAAAATGTTTTTAGTTTATTTTATTTATCATAACTCCTGAAAGTTTCAAGAAAATCCATCGAGCCATCTCTGAGAAATCGCTTGGACAAAAAACGGGAAAAAAATAATAATAATAATAAACAGTAGAATCACTATAAGGTCTTCCGTCTGAAACGGAAGACCTTAATAATAATAATAATAAGAAACCGAGTAAAAACAATATGTTCCCAAACTTCGTTTGGGGAACATAATTATAGGCATGCTAGCACAGAGCACCTGTAAATTTTATCCAATTTTATACAAATCTGACATGTTTTAACTGACCTAATTCAAATCAAGTGATATTGTCTATCATTTAATATAGGTTTAACTGTTATTATAATCTATTATGTAAAACAAGCCTTGTTTTTACTTACACTGAACCTTGTTCAGGTTGGGGGGAAATGTAAATTCCGCTATAATAGTGGTATATCACCATTATAGTGAGATTCCGCTATATTTTCAGCCGTAGTTACCCTCGATTTCATCAAATAACATATTTGCTGATTAAAGCGCAAGTTATGATGGGTATAAAAATGGACAATAATTTGAATCCTTGCATGTTATGAATTTTATTTAATTTTCTGCCGATGTGTTTTATAATACGAACACACTTTTTAAAGCGGAAGTTACATTTTTAACATAGCAACCAGTGATTGCGGTAGTATTGAACAAAGACTGACTCTTAATATCTCTTACACGTGTGCACAAATTAGTGCTTGTAATAACCTTGAACCCACGTTGAAATACGTTTGTCGAATTTACAGAAGAAAAGATGATTTTTGCCTGCATGGTAACGGGTATGGAGGCCCGTTGTGACAAACGAAAAAAGCTCATTACATGTTCACTTTATTCTGATGAAACCGATTTGTATTGTTTAATTGCAATAAATCGTGAACAATTATGTAAGATGTCATTTCTGGAGGTAATTACAAACACATTGTTTGACATTCTTTTTGAGAATGTTAAACAAAATTAACAATACGAATAACAAATTTAAAGGGCCTCGGTTTTAAGGGTGTCTTCCATCTATTCCCACTTAAAAAAAATCAGAAGTCCACATATTTCCGCTTGCAAAAATGATATAGTTTATTCAGAATATAATTTTGGGCAGACAGCCCATCAGTTACAAAAATAATTTATAATCTATACATATTTTACAATAAGTAAGACTCTCGCAGAGTCTAAAAGGGGGGGGGGGGGAGAATCCTGATCAAGTGTTCCTCAGTCCCACAGTTCCATTCACTTGTATAGAAGACTATAATATATGCTATAATATAAAGCAGAAGAAAGAATACTTTAAAACAATTAAATTGTTTTACAATATATGTAGCAATGCTGTTGTATTATATATAAAGATTTGAAAATTAACCTTGAACAAATAGACATTGGGTCAACCTGACAGATCATCGTAACGTAATGTAAGAGCATGATGGATAAATTTCCCTAAGCCAACTAGGGTACATATGCGATGTGAACCGAATAAATGAAGTAATTTAAATGTACTTGGAGATTTGTAATAATATTCATTTATGTATTTTTTCCTTAAATTTAGATATCTATGGCACTGAAGAATGAAATTAAATTCGTCTTCAATTTGATGCGTATCGTAAACATCGCAGAATCTATCCTCCCTGCTCTTGCTTTGTGTTGAAAGTTCATTTGTGTTTATAACAATTATGTTAATTACATCTCAACTTAGATGTTTTTCTTTTTTTACAATTCAATACACTTTAAGACAGAAAATACATTTAATAAATCGATGAAAATGCAATGATATATTTCACTTAATTTTGTACAGAAAATAAATAAATAGATTTTAAGAAAAAATTTGATGTAATTCACTCAATTTTTTACTCTTTGAATACGTTCAATTTAAGACAGAAAATTAAGTAAATCGATTCAATTTCTTTTTCAATTTGCTTAAGTTTAAAATACTGTATGAAATGTGAAGATAACAAACAGTAATCAATCTCAAAAGTCCATTGAAACAAAAAAAATTAAACAGAGCAAACACGGACCCCTAAAAACATCAGAGGTGGGATCAGGTGCCATGGAGGAGTGAGCACCCCCTACCGACCGGTCACACCCGCCGTGTGCTCCTTGTCATGATCGTGAAAAAACAGTAGACAATTCAATGTGTAAATAATGGCTTATGTGTACTTAAAAAAGCAGGCTTGATATTTTAGCGGCTGTGGCGCAGACAACGATGTACTAATTCATGATAACCATTAACAAATGAATTTCGCAAAATCCATGATGGACAGGAGATGCCTACTCCTCCATAGCACCTGATCCTACTTTTTCGAAAAATTTTATTGTTCAAATGGCCTTTTTCGTTATCTTCATATTTCTGTTTCTTCTTGTATTTCGTTCATTTATACCAGAATAATCTACTTCTGGTAATTAGGATTTCATTGTCTCTTTTTTGTTGCATAACGTACATGTAGTTAAATATAAAATTTTATGCAATTTACACAATCAATAAATTGTGCAGAATTTAAAAGACGTCACATCTACAGGTAATTTTCACAACTTTTCCCCTTTTCTTGCTAAGACTAATTATTTTATTTCATGGTTTCATCATCAAGAAAGGAAACATTTTACATCTACCTAAGATTACATGTAAAAGTGACATATATTGCTTACGGTTTAGACGACACAAATCGGTTCCATTAAAGTGAACTTGTGCTGAGCTTTATTTTCATTTGTCATAACGGGCCTCCATACCAGTAACTATGCAAGCAAAAATCACCTTTTCTTCTGTAAATTCGACAAACCTATTCCAAAGTGGGTTAAAAGTTATTACAAGCACTAATTTGTGAACATGTGTGAGAGATATTAAGAGTCAGTCTTTGTTCAAAACTACCGCAATCACTGGTTGCTATGTTAAAAATGTAACTTCCGCTTTAAAAAGTGTGTTCGTATTATAAAACGCATCAGCAGAAAATTAAATAAAATTCATAACATGCAAGGATTCAAGTTATTGTCCATTTTTATACCCATCATAACTTGCGCTTTAATCAGCAAATATGTTATTTGATGAAATCGAGGGTAACTACGGCTGAAAATATAGCGGAATCTCACTATAATAGTGATATACCACCATTATAGTGGAATTTACGTTTCCCCCCAACCTGTTGTTTTACTTACACTGAGCAGGAGAGCATTAGAGGTGGGATCAGGTGCCATGTATGTAGGTTAAACTGTTATTATAATCTATTACTGTAAAACAAGCCTTGTTTTTACTTACACTGAACCTTGTTTTTACTTACACTGAGCAGGAGAGCATTAGAGGTGGGATCAGGTGCCATGTATGTAGGTTTAACTGTTATTATAATCTATTTCTGTAAAACAAGCCTTGTTTTTACTTACACTGAACCTTGTTTTTACTTGCACTGAGCCTTGTTTTTACTTACACCGAACCTTGTTCTTACTTACACTGAGCAGGAGAGCATTAGAGGTGGGATCAGGTGCCATGAATATAGGTTTAACTGTAACTATAATCTATAACTGTATAATTATCCTTGTTCTTACTTACACTGAGTAGGAGAGCATTAGAGGTGGGATCAGGTGCCATAAATATAGGTTTAACTGTAACTATAATCTATAACTGTATAATTATCCTTGTTCTTACTTACACTGAGCAGGAGAGCATTAGAAGTGGGGTCCATCTGATCTTCAATCAGAATAATTTCTGGTTTCTCCATGGTAACGATGATTGACATTTCACTAGTTGGAGGAGGTGGAGCTTTAGCTGGTGTCACAGCTGTCAATCAAATAAATACATGAAAGGGGCATGGACACAGATGAATTGTCAGTTTTGTTTACAATTTTAGATTTCTTTTTTATTTTCTTTTTTGTCATTAAATTCAATGACAATGGCATTCTTCATAACATACATCAAACAGCTGTGTTTGTAAACATGGACAAGAGATCTGCTATGTTAATGTTATTGGGTATGTTAGATTGGCTAACTCTGCACACATCACTGAACATGAGCCAACAGCACTGGTGTGTTGATTTGGCTTTCCCACATTTCTGTTCTGACTTTTCTTGATTATAGTTTTAATATCTTTGATTTAATACACCACAATTTTCCCCTTTTTTGAAATAATAAGTTAGAATAAAATTTAATCCAAAAAGATGTATGGAAATATGACAATCAAATACACCCAAAAAAACACACTTTTGATAATTTTCAGAAAAAGGAGGTTTTTAACACGCCTCTTATATCAGTTTAAAATGGTCTGGCAGAATGTAAGTCATGATATTATAGCAAAACTTTTTACTTTGAATATGTGTCCATTTCCCTTTAACAATCTTCATATGCATTTATGGTCTTGCCATTTATGGACTTGCCATTTAAATACCAAAGCAAGGATCATCAAGTGTGCAGGACAGATTTTATTGATTTGGCAAATAAAAATTTCTGCACAATTACATAATTCTGAACATGCATGGATCCTGAAGTATATCATTTTTTTTGTAATTAAAAGAAGTAATATAAATAAAGCTATGAAATAGACAGGCATTTAGGCAACAGAGATTTCATCTTGGCTTAGTTCATCCAGAAGAAAGTTTATATTGAAAAGGTAAGTAAAAGAGAACAGGCATTGATCATTTATCAATCATAAACATTGTAAGATATAAAAGTTATTGTTAAATCCTAATAATGTTGAGGTACCTTTTTCTTTCTTTCCTGTTAAAAAGTCATTAAATCTTTCGAAATACAAAGAGACATGTTTAAAGGGGATAACATCTGACAAAAAGTTCCAATAATTACCCTTTCTAGAAAATTAGACATAAAATACAAACCTTTGCTCTGTGTTTGCGTTGAAGTCTGTGTTGTTGGCTGAGACTCGGGTAACCCTCTGGTGAAAAAGTCCCCGAGGGGCAGCAGGAAATCCAGACAGGCCACCACCCTGATACTGGATATCTTCACTTGTACTAGAATAACAAAACAATAACAGCTAGACATCTTCACTTGTGTTAGAATAACAAAACAATGACAGCTAGACATCTCCACTTGTACTAGAATAACAAAACAATAACAGCTAAACATCTTCACTTGTACTACAATAACAAAACAATAACAGCTAGACATCTCCACTTGTACTAGCATATCAAAACAATAACAGCTAGACATCTTCACTTGTACTAGAATAACAAAACAATAACAACTAGACATCTCCACTTGTACTAGAATAACAAAACAATAACAGCTAGACATCCTGGCTGATAGCATATGTTCAATATTTAAATTTACACTATGATGCATTAAAAACCCTGCTTATTTTCCTTATTTCCACTTAGCATTGCATAACCAAATGAAACTAGAAATATGTCCATAGGACATGAATGCCCCGCCCAGGGTATATTAGTAATTCAACATTTTAACACAAATTGAGAAAAGTTAGGTCAAGGTTAAAGGGAAGGTCAAGGTCAAAAATTGTTGATGCAGTTGAAAAGGTTACATCAGTATGTATTAGCATATGAAGTTTGATAAAAATATTATGAATGGTTTCTTTAAAACTGAGCTAAACACTAATTTAAGAAAAGTTAGGTCAAGGTCAAAGGAAAGGTCAAGGTCAAAAAATATTGATGCGGTTGAATAGCTCTCATCAGTATGTATCAGCATATGAAGTTTGATAACACTATCTTGAATACTATCTTTAAATCTGAGCTAAAAACTTATTTAAGAAAAGTGAGGTCAAGGTCAAAGGAAAGGTCAAAGTAAATAATATTGATGCAGTTGAATAGCTCTCATCAGTATGTATCATCATATAAAGTTTGTTAAAAATATCTTGAATGGTTTCAATAAAATTGAACTAAACACTAATTTAACAATAGTGTGGCCAAGGTCAAAAGAAAGGTCAAGGTCAAAAAATGTTGATGCAGTTGCATAGCTCTCATCAATATCTATTAGCATATGAAGTTTGATAAAAATATCTTGGATAGTTTCTTTGAAAGGACAGACAGAAGGACAGAAGGACGGAAGACGGACATGACAAACACTATATGCCCCGGTCATATTCATGGCGGGGCATAAAAATAGAATGTGTACACATTGTCTGTGGACATATATCTCAACATAACTCATATTCTCTCTCTCTCCCCCTTAGATGTTGTGGTGTGTGCAAACCCCCCCCGGTGATTTGGTATTTCATGTGACAACCTCTCTACTCTTTCTGTGATATCAATGTCTCTCTCTCTCACACACAAATACTCACTGTCTTTATCCTGGTTGGGTTCCTGGGTGAGGTTTAAATCTATCATATTGTCCTGTTTCCCCTCCCCTGTAAATCTCTCTATCATCCTAAAACAGGAAAAATCAATCTTCTACAGATTGGAAAGAATATAGAAATGAAGTGGTGGATATTTGTATGGATATCAAATTTCTAGGTAAAAAGAAACAGATGAAGTTGAATATGTGAATGAACAGATACAGTGAATGATAAAACAAGAGGCCCATGGGCCACATCGCTCACCTGAGCACACTGGCTAGGAAAAAAAGCAAAAATCAGTACAGTATTGAAAAGTTTACAGGGAGGGGGGTGTTGAATTTTAAACTACCTGATGATGCTTTCATATCAATATAACAAATGGCTTTGTTGTTCTTGAGCAGCAGATTTTTTTCCCATATATTCATTTGTAAAAATTTGATCCCCCATTGTGGCCCCACCCTACCCCCGGGGGCCCTCATATGAACAAATTTCATTCTACACTACCCAAAGATGCCTCCATATCAATTTGACTATTCATGGCTTTTCTGTTCTTGAGAAAAAGACTTTTTCCTATATATTCCTCTGTAAACTTTGATCACCCATTGTGGCCCCAACCTATCCCCGGGGTAATGATTTGAACAAACTTGAATCTTCACTATCTGAGGATGCATCCATACATGGCTTTACTGTTTTTAAGGAGAAGATTTTAGAGATATTTTCCTATATATTTCTATGTAAAACTTTGATCCCTCATTGTGGCCCCACCCTACCCCCGGGGGTTATGATTTGAACAAATTTGAATCTTCACTACCTGAGGATGCTTCCATATAAATATGACCAATCATGGCTTTACTGTTTTTAAGAAGAAGATTTTTAGAGATATTTTCCTATATATTTCTATGTAAAACTTTGATCCCTCATTGTGGCCCCACCCTACCCCCGGGGGTTATGATTTGAACAAATTTGAATCTTCACTACCTGAGGATGCTTCCATATAAATATGACCAATCATGGCTTTGCTGTTCTTAAGAAGAAGATTTTTAAAGATATTTTCCTATATATTTCTATGTAAAACTTTGATCCCCCATTGTGGCCCCACCCTACCCCCAGGGGTCATGATTTGAACAAACTTGAATCTACACTACCTGAGGATGCTTCCATAAAAATATGACCAATCATGGCTTTGCTGTTCTTAAGAAGAAGATTTTTAAAGATATTTACCTATATTTATCTATGTAAAACTTTGATCCCCCATTGTGGCCCCACCCTACCCCCGGTGGTCATGATTTGAGCAAACTTGAATCTTCACTACCTGAGGATGCTTCCATAAAAATATGACCAATCATGGCTTTGCTGTTCTTCTTCAGAAGATTTTTAAAGATATTTTCCTTTGTATTTCTATGTAAAACTTGGATCCCCCATTGTGGCCCCACCCTACCCCGGGGGTCATGATTTGAACAAACTTGAATCTACACTACCTGAGGATGCTTCCATATAAATATGACTAATCATGGCTTTACTGTTTTTAAGAAGAAGATTTTTAAAGATATTTTCTTATATATTTCTATGTAAAACTTGGATCCCCCATTGTGGCCCCACCCTACCCCCGGGGGTCATGATTTGAACAAACTTGAATCTACACTACCTGAGGATGCTTCCATAAAAATATGACCAATCATGGCTTTGCTGTTCTTCTTCAGAAGATTTTTAAAGATATTTTCCTTTGTATTTCTATGTAAAACTTGGATCCCCCATTGTGGCCCCACCCTACCCCCGGGGGTCATGATTTGAACAAAGTTGAATCTACACTACCTGAGGATGTTTCCACATAAGTTTCATCTTTCCTGGCCCAGTGGTTCTTAAGAAGAAGATTTTTAAATGATGCTATTATTTTTTCACTAATTCCTAATTATCTCCCCTTGAAAGAGGGCGTGGCCCTTCATTTGAACAAACTTGAATCCCCTTTACCCAAGGATGCTTTGTGGCAAGTTTAGTTGAATTTGGCCCAGTGGTTCTTGAGAAGAAGATGAAAATGTGAAAAGTTTACAACAACAACAACGACAACGACAACAACGACGACAGACAACGGACAAATTTTGATCAGAAAAGCTCACTTGAGCCTTTGGCTCAGGTGAGCTAAAAATTGGATGCAGGAAAGATTTGGATTGGCTGAAAACACAGGATGGAATGCTGGATTCATCAGAGGATAGGACTGTCCAATGGATAGTAGCACTGAATGAAATTAAATATACAGATACTTAGAAGAAAGGCTTATGGAACAAGAGGTCCATGGGCCACAACACTCACCTGTGTCACTTTGGGTCTGCTGTCCTGCATCAGTTTTTTATCTCACCAAATTACATGTATTCCTATGTAAAATTTTGATTGTCTTTTATGGCCCCACTATAGAGGGGCCATGGTTTGAACAAAAATAAATCTACACTACCAGAGGATGCTTCCACTTTAATATGATTCATAGCTCTGCTGTTCTGGAGTAGAGGAGTTTTAAAGATTCTCTCCTATGTAATCCCTATTAAGGCCTCACTCTACCCCCTTGGGACAATGATATGAACAATCAACAATCTGCACTACCTCAGGAAGCTTCCACATAAGTTTAATCTTTTCTGGTCTAGCAGTTTTTAAGAAGATTTTTCCTTTATATTTCAATGTAAAACTTTCATTCCCTATTGTGGCCCCACCCTACCACCGGGACCATGATTTCAACAGTTTACAATCTACACTACCTCAGGAAGCTTTCACCTAAATTTAATCTTTTCTGGTCCAGTGGTTTTTGAGACTTTTCCTATATATTTCAATGAAAAGATTTGATCCCTTATTGTGGCCCCATCCTACCCCCAGGTACATGATTTGAACAAATTACAGTCTACACTACCTCTGGAAGCTTCAATATCAGATTCAGCTTTTCTGTGCTAGTGGTTCTTGAGAAGATTTTAAAAGATTTTTCCTACATATTTCAATGTAAAACTTTGATTTCCTATTGTGGCCCCATCCTACCCCTGAGGGCTATGATATGAATAATTTAGAATCTACACTACCTCAGGAAGCTTCCACATAAGTTTCAGCTTTTCTGGCCCAGTGCTTCTTGAGAAGAGGATTTTTAACACCACCTTTTTTTGCCTTTGCTTGAATATCTCCCTTTGGAAGAAGGCTTGGTCCTTCATTTTAATAATTTAGAATCCCCTTTACCCAAGGATGCTTTGTACCAACTTTGATTAAATTTAGCCCAGTAGTTCTTGAGAAGAAGATAAAAAACTGAAAAGTTTTTAGACGGACAGATGACGGACAACGGGTGATCAAAAAAGCTCACTGAGCTTTCAGCTCAGGTTAACTAACAAGAATGATAGAAAATGGATGGCTATATTAGAAAACTTAGAACAGTTTGAAGAATGACTAAATCCATGGATGGAAACTCTACAACATAGAAAAACAAGGCTGGTTAAATACTATGGATTGCTTTATGATGAAAAACTTTGAACAGCATGAATTGAATGGGAATTAATGAATTCATTTAGAAAAGTCACTGGATTCATTAAAGAGAAATGGCTACACAAATAATTGATCGATTGCCTCACAGAATCAAAAAACATGATTGTGAAATAAAGGTGCTTGGTAGCTGACAAAACACCAATGCTATCTACACGTACTACTTTATAATCATACTAACATTCCACTCTTTTTATGTCATACGTTTATTCTAATTCAACAACGAATACTGTTAATACAGTAAAACACCTTATAACAAACATGCTTATAATGAATTGATGCTTATAGCAAAGTGATTTTCATTCCCCTTGGGTTTTAAACATATTGTGAAGCTTATGGATATAACAAAATATGTTTATAACGAGGTAAAATTGCCAGTCCCTGGCACTTCGTTATAAACATGTTTTACTGTATATGTTTGTTGCCACCATAATTACCTATGGATAATTAGGGATATCTATATATTTTACCTTCAAATATGTTTTTATGTGGTTAAATTTTATATTTAAAACAAACCTGTATTAAATGTATTCATTTGAGAGAAGACAAAATATCAAGAAATATAAATCAAAAATGAGTAAAATGAAGCATGCAATAAAAAAAGTTTATTGAATGTTCAAAAAATTTAAAATTATGGATTCAATTCATGCAAACTGTTGAAATGTTATGATAAAAAACAAAAATCATTTTCAAATATTTTTTTCTGTACAACAAAATGCTCTGGAGAATTGTCTTTCACTCAGCCATGACAAGTTGCAATTTCATAGTACAGCAAATATGAAAACTTTCTGAAGAAGAGAATCTTGAATTCCTGAGAACTGCCAGTCTGACAGATATGATTGGCTGATGCTGCCAGTCAGACAGATATGATTGGCTGATTCTGACACTCAAACAGATATGATTGGCTGATGCTGCCAGTCAGACAGATATGATTGGCTGATTCTGACAGTCAGACAGATATGATTGGCTGATGCTGACAGTCTGACAGATATGATTGGCTGATGCTGACAGTAAGTGACAGTATTTCTCAGACTGATAGAATTTCCAAAATGGCAGACACTAGAAAGTTACATTTCAAAAGCTTTGGCAAACAAAATAATATTGGCTATTACTAAGTCATCTCAGGTCACTCATACTAGATAAATGGCTATATCCAGACAGTAACAACAGCTATATCTGTTAGTAAAAAAGAAACATGCAGTATTAAATTATTTACCTTATGGCACCTTGTGAACTGAGCAGTGAAACAGTAAATATTATCAGCAATACTTTTAAAGACATCACAACTTTATTTTACATCTCAGCATTATCCTACATAATGATTCCTTCACCATGATCACTGATACTGCTACTCAGGGTAAACATCCTTAATCTTTTTACTATTAAATTTTGTTTATTACAATTATCATCTAATAATTGAGAATGCAAGCTAAGCATGGCTTGAAGGACATCCCATTTCTCATCTATAATGTTTAAGTTACTATTTCTATTTTTTTTAATATGAGCTTAACTGGCATCATATCTTAACATAAGTAATGAAAAAGGTGAAGATAATGGACAGAGATTAATCTCATAATAATAACAAACAATACAAATCTGTGAAGAGGGCATAAAACACGGACCCCTGGAAATTCCAGAGGTGGAATCAAGAGCCTAGGAGGAGTAAGCATCCCCTGTTGACTGGTCACAACCACCGTGAGCCCTATGTAGTCAGTATAAAAACAAAGACCTAACAATTGATATGAAACAAGTCAGCAGAAATAAGATCCAATGATAGGTTATATTTGCTAAGAAAGTCATTAAAACCACCATGGAATTTATGAAATACTGACTTTTAATGAGGTTGTTGAAATCCCAGTAACATCAACTTATGTGCGAGTAGCTTGTCTCAGTTTAAAAATTGATCGTACTCAGAGCAAGCTCTTGAGTAGCAAATAAGTTGGGAGACATAAACATCGTATGCAGATGATAGCAGAATATTACTACATAAATAAGGAAAGTTGACAATGGAAAAGTTAACACATTTATTTTGTCCTGTTATCATATTTTGCCTATAGCACTGTATAACACTATTAACCAACTTTTTTCCACATGCCAGAATTACCATGAGTTTTGTAATATTCTATTTATCACTGTGAAGTATTTATTTGTGTATTTATGCAGAATGTTTCCTCCTTTGCAAGCTGAAGATGGATTTTAAGCGGGGACAACTTGAAGCTAAGCAGAGGAAAAGGACATTGGAATTACTCGATGGCCAACATTTGATATAAATCCTGTTATCAAATTTTGTTCATCATTATAACTCTATCATTGAGTTAGTTAATCAGTGTTTTATTGCAAAGAAATTTTAATTAAAAGCCATAAAACATTAATTAGTTATTTTATTGTATCTTTTTTGTTAAAAAAGTATTTAAAATTAATTACTATCTTTTTCACACGTAAAGCTTTTTAGTGAATGACTCTGAATATTTTTATTCCACATGAATGATTAGTTACAGGAAAATGAATTCGAATGTCATAGTTTTGGTTGTAATACAGCCCCCCCCCCCCCCCTTTCCTAAGACAATTAACTCTAATTCTTCTTTTCTTACCTGTTGACCCCTCCTTTTTCTAGCACTGTTAACCCTATTTTTTCTTTTCTTACCTGTTGACCCCTCCTCTTTCTTGTTTCTCCTTCCTTTTGTCATCCAGTACAGTGTCCTTGAGTATGACCTTGGTTGTCATGGAGCCATCACTCTTCATTTGACCTTCAACCCTTATAATCTCAAGCATAAACTGACCTAGGGCATTTTCAGCTGGCCTGGAATTCTCTCCATCTTTCGTCTGAATTCAAACAAAAATGACATTGTGTTAAATGCATAAAGTATGACATAATCTATTTTATATTAATTAGCATAAAAAATAAGACAATAAAATACACTATACTTAACATCATTATCCTATTACTTTATTCTATTTTTTTCTCTCATTATACAAAACTGGCCTTTTTTGTTATATGTGAGTCGCCACGACAAAACCAGGCTTGTTGAGTTTTACGTCATAATTGAGAAAATAGCGCTGAAAAACACACTTGTTGTTGCGCAACGTTTTATTTAAAACCCCGTTGTTTAGAAAAAAAATATTGAGTATTATTTTATCCAAATATTTGGGTTTTTTTTAGTTCCATTCAGTAACTGTAAATATTTTTTATGGACTTTTAATTAATACCTATTTGTCATTTGTCTGTGTATCTTGTCAGAGTTATCAGTCGTACAAATGTAGTAAAAGCGAAAGTACGTAGGCAACGTAAACAATCGTCGGAACAATCCGCAGACGACATTCAATAGATTCGTCGATGTTGAAGGAAATCTGTTTATATTTATTATGAGCCAGTCAAGCAGAGTTAGTGAGGTACCTGATGAAATTATTTTTCATCAAGATGAACTTTTTATCGATGAAATTACATCTTTGAACGATTTGTATTTTGATAGTCACTCGGGAATTTGTACCCTTGTTATCATCCGAAGATGAGGAACAGGAAAGTCGAGCCACAAACATTGATGGTAATTTTTCAGATTCAGATACTGAATTAGAGCACAGAACAATTGACATAGAAGCGAGTTGTGTTGCAGTATTCAAAACAAAAACGTGGGTGCAGTAAACTGTATGGTTCTCCGTGTAGTACAAAAATTGAATTCAGTCACATGCTCAAATACAGACAACAGTGTCAAGAAATGTCAAGTGAGGAATTAGATTTAACAGTTAAAGTTCAATTGGCAGCACACAGAAAATCATGCACATATTGGCCCCAGTCGATGAGTAAAAAGCAAAAAACAAAGGAACGAGAAAGAGTAGCACAGAAGTATTATTTTGCGGGAAAGCAGGTCTGTCGTGAAACTTTTCTGTTCTGTCATGGTATTGGGAAATTTAAGCTTAACAACATAGCTTCTTCTCTAAAGACTTGATAAAGATGGTCCCAAGCCAAGGATTCATGGAAACACTGGGAAAATGCCTAAACATGCACTCTGTGTAACCGACGTAAAACATGTTTGTCAGTTCTTAGAGGAATATACCCTGAAGAATGGACTCCCACTGCCAGGTAGACAGCCGAACTACTCGACTCAAAGCAGCAAAGTCCTTTTGTTGCTTCCTTCTGATAAGACAAAGTCTGATGTTTGGGAACTTTATAATCAAGCAGCAGAAAAGCAGAATTACAGGTACATATGTTAATGTCCTACATGATTCTGTTAAAATAACATGAATAACTCAATTTTGTAATGCAGTTCTAATTTCTAATTTTCTGATAATTCTTAATAATAAGACTTTAGACTGGATAAAGTACCTATCACTGATAATAAATATTAAGACATAGTAATCTTTAGGCATTGTTTAAAATGTGATAGTCTTCTCACCTTTCTTTTATAACTTTTCAAGGCAAGTGAGTTTATCAAGTTTTAAGAAAATCTGGTTGGAGCAAATGCCACATATTCTTATCATGAAACCAGCTACTGATTTGTGCCCTAAATGCCAGAGATATGTTCACAACATCAGCAATGTAGGGAACTTGTCAGAGGATGAAAAGAAGACTATGCTTGAAGAGTATACCTGTCACCTGGACAGAGCTAAGGAACAGAGAGAATACTACAGAGAAAGGTGTATACAGTCTAAAGATTTGTTTTACACACACAACTTGGACCAAGTAGAAAGAGGTGTGCTTAAATAAAATTATTTTATTTTCATTTTCTAAATGTTGTTTACTTCCCACAATATATGGATTAAATCAACAGGATATTATTGTTTCATGTATGCAATCTATTATCACACCCAGTCTGATTAATTTAAATTAACACATGGTAGAGTACATGAAACAAAATAATCTCAGTTTATACATGCATTATTATTTTGATTTTCCTTGAAGGGCAAGTATGCACACATGACATAACCCAGACATACAGCCTTGACTTTACTCAACAAGTCCACTATCCTCACCATGCACAGGAAGTAGGGCCACTATTTTTCAAGACCCCTAGAAAGTGCCAAGCCTTTGGTGTTTGTGCAGAAGGAGCAGGTAAACAATTATTAGACAACTAATATGTTGCATAAATTTTGTATCACTGAATGAGTCCAGGAAGACAAAAGATTAAATTATAATAAATGTTTGTGAAAAAATGAGAAATAACATACAAGCTGCAAATAAAACAATGATTTCAATTTTATATTTTAGGTGTGCAAAGATTTTATCTGGTTGATGAGGCTGAAGAAGTAGGAAAAGGAGCAAACACAGTTGTCAGCCTCCTACATCATTTTTTTGAGCACTGGGGATTTGGAGAGAAGGATGTTGTGCTGCAGATGGATAACTGTGCTGGTCAAACCAAAAATAATACAATGATAAGGTAAATATTTCAAACATTCCATATATTTAGTACATGCATTTCTATTTTAATTCACTGCTGTGATCAAACAATGAATAGATTGTTCTTGTTAGGTTATGCTCTTATATGACTTCAATAGAGGGAAATAGTCAAATTGTTGTTCCAAGTTTGAGGAGATAATCTATGAAACTTTTGCCAAAGGTCAAAGGCAACAATTTTCCAGACCTTTCCCACTATATAGGGACAACAGCATAATAGTCACTAGCAAGTGTTTTATTACCTAGCCTACTTCATAATTTCTCAAAGTGAAAATATAGGTCAAATAATCACTGGAGTTCTGTTTTTTGATTAACCTTTAACATCATTGCACAATGAACACTTTGTATGTAACATTTCATGTAAATTTCAAACAAAATTTAATTTGTTAAAAATGATTCAGAATTAAAATCACATTGTATGATGTTAGATCAGAAATATAAATGGATTTCAAGAGGTGCTTTTAATGGTTGAATAAGTACATTTTTAGATAAATAAATTCGCTAAATCAGACAGGATTAGGAAAGCTTATACTTGTTTAAAATATATTTATATTCATATGTCTTGTTATAGATATGGCATGTGGAGAGTATTGACAGGCCGTCATCGTAGTGTTGAATTTTCATAAATGGAAGCTGGACACACCAAGTTTAGTCCAGACTGGCATTTCGGTCTTTGGAAGATGAAGTGGAAACACTCAACTGCAGAAACTCTGGATGAAGTAGCATCATCAGTGAGGCAATCTTCAAGAAATGGTCACAACATACCCCAGCTGATCAATGATGTTGACAGGCCAGTCACATTCTACATGTATAACTGGTCATGTTTCTTTGATCCCTACTTCAAGAAACTACCGTCGATCTCAAAATTTCACCATTATAGAATTTCTGCTGATGTTCCAGGAGCTGTCTTTGTGAAGATGTATTGCAGCTCGGAAGAAAAACCTGTCAACATTTTGAAGAGAGGCCAGCAAGTATTTGACATTGACACTTTGCCATCAGTCATTGAACCAAAAGGCCTTGATGCTGCAAGGCAGTGGTATCTCTATTATGAGATTAGACCATTCTGCAGGGATACATCTAACGGTCTGGAGTCATGCCCTAAACCTCTGTGTCCAAAACCTCGCATCAAAATCGATCCAGAGAAAAGATAGAGTCCAAAGAAGTTAGCTATGCATGAAAGTTAAGATGTTGCAACAATGTAGACATGTATTGAGCGTTTATGCAAACTTTCATGAAAATGATATTTTATTCAAATGTAAACTTTGTTTGTATATTTACTTAGATATTTGTTTGTTTGTGTCTTTGGGGGGGGGGGGGGGTTGGCTTGTTTGAAAGAAAAAATGTAATCTTTTAAAATTTATGAACTCGGAATTTTTTTTTAATTGGAAAATAAGATGTATTTGATCTTAACCTTTTTGCACTAGATTCTTGACCTTTTTCACTAAAATTTGATTTGCATGTAGAATTTTGACCACATTCAATATAAATTCGAAATTCGAGAGGTAAATATTAGATATTTGTTTGATATTACTATTTATGTCTTCATTTTTTCATTTTCTTATAAAATTAGCCGAATTCCATTATGTCTAAATTTTGAAATTTTGTAAATGAAACATATAATTTTTGCATCATCATAACTTGTGAATTAAAAGGAGATTGACTCAAATATTTTGTATTTTTACTTATTCATACTATAGCTACCTGAAAATGCAAAAATCTCAATTTCATGAAAAAACTCAATAAACCTGGTTTTCTTGTGGCTTATCACATATTGTCTTTGTAGCCTCTCTGTCTCTTTCTAGATTATCTTATAAATATTCTGACTCACCAGATTACTCTCCCCTGTATAGAGAGTGGCTGACAGTGTTGTGATTTGGAATTCAAACTTGAGCTGTGTATGGAGTTTGAAGGAATCTGACTGCTCAGGGGGAGTAACTGTGATGGAAGGGGAACCTGCTGTAAGGGGAGAAAACTCTTATAAATAACTTCAATTTACTTCTATAGCTCTATTACTCCTGTACTCTAAGAGAAATCATATTCTTTAGAAAATTGTTTTTTTACATAATTATTCAATGTCACTCTGTTACTGATACATGTATTTGCAATTCAATAATCCAGATATTTTTAAACTTGTCAAATTAACCTTGTCATTGGTTTTGTGGGAAAAAAATCAAAATGAAAATCTTTAAAAATTTAAAGCTATAAACAAATCTCATTATCTCAAACTCAACAAGACAAAAATTAAACTTCAAGATATCCCAGGATTTAAGATAACAGAAGTAAAATCATTAACATTGATTGGGACTGCCAAATCACTTCAACATATCCTTGGTGTTCCTCATATCAGTGTTCAAGATAACAAAGTTTCACTGTATACAATTATGACACATACTTAAGATGATGACAACAATGGTATGAAACTTTTCAAACACCTCTTAATAAGCCAAATAATCAAGTCTTTAACGATCAAGTCTGTAACTTACCATTAAGTCTGCCACTTACCAGTCACAGTCTGTAACTTACCAGTCAGTCTGTCACTTACCAGTCAGTCTGTCACTTACCAGTCAGTCAGTCACTTACCAGTAAGTCTGTAACTTACCAGTCAGTCTGTAACTTACCAGTCAGTTTGTCAATTACCAGTAAGTCTGTAACTTACCAGTAAGTCTGTAACTTACCATTAAGTCTGTAACTTACCAGTCAGTTTGTCACTTACCAGTAAGTCTGTAACTTACAAGTCAGTCTGTCACTTACCAGTCAGTCTGTCACTTACCAGTCAGTCTGTAACCAGTCAGTCTGTAACTTACCAGTCAGTTTGTCACTTACCAGTGGGTCCCCTCAGACAAAGGGTTAATTAATCAGTAAGTCTTTAAATGATAAGTAAGTCTTTTAATTATCAGTTAGTCTTTTAATTATCAGTTAGTCTTTTAATTATCAGTTAGTCTGCAAATTACCATAAAGTCACTTATCAGAAAGTCTTAGTCTTTTAATTATCAGTTAGTCTTTTAATTATCAGTTAGTCTGCAAATTACCATAAAGTCACTTATCAGAAAGTCTTATACTTATAAGAATCTGTACTGACTTTAAGTCCATGACCTTTCAGTAAGTTTGTGACTTTTCAGTAATCTGTAACTATGTTACATGTACTTATCAGTTAATCTGTCACTTATCAGTAAGTCTGTAACTTATAAGTGATAAACTACATAATCTACTGTTCAAGTAAGTCAATCAAAAGTATTTCAGTGCCAAAATTCATTACTAATCAGACTGTCATTCTGTAACTCTTAAGTCAGAGAGTGTTTTTCTTACAAATCAGTCAGTTTGTAGGTTAACAGCAGAAGAATTCACTTCTCACATGCTTAATTCTAAGCTGTGAGAGAGTTAATCACTTTACAAACCAGTCTGTATCTTAGCAGTTTATCATTTCACAAATCAGTTTTAGCAGTGAGAGAGTTCTTCACTTCATAAGTCAGTGAGTTTGAATCTAGTTCATATGTGTCTTAGCAAGAGTTCATAAATTGACAAGTCAGTTTGAATCCAGTTTTGTCTTTGTCTTAATGGCTGTTCATCATCTGACGTCAGTCAGTGTGGATCTCAGCAGTGAAAGAGTTCATCACTTGATAAGTCAGTCAGTTTGAATCTAGTCCATCGGTGTCTTAGCAGCAGTCCATAGATTGACAAATTGTCTTGTCTTAATGGCTGTTCATCATCTGACAAGTCAGTCAGTGTGTGTCTTGGCTGTGAGAGGATTTATCATGTATAAATCCATCAGTCTGTACCTCAGTAGTGAGAGAGTTTCTCAGTTGACAAAACACTCATTAAAACACTCACCAGTGGTAGATTCCACCTGCTGTGTAGGCGTACTCTCTGTTTGAGTTAGCTCAGTGCCCTTGTCCTTTGGTTGCTTAGCAACACTCTCTGATTTCTGGCCCTCTGATAGGTTGTCATTAAGTAAGGTCATTATCACCTTGTAGTCACCTTGACTCATGGTAGCCTTTTAATTGAATAAATTAAAAAAAAACGAACATTTAATCTAACAAAATTATGCATCATTGTATAGCTCCTTTTCTGATTTTCGGGATCAAGAGATGTCATTTTACTCTTAACTTATATTCACGTGCTAGAACTGTTCTTAAATTTCGAGGCCTTCTTTAGCTCATGAATTTTTCTCACCACAAACTACCAGTAATGATTTGCTTGTGTATTTATGCTAAGTGTTTCCTCAGTTGCACAAATAAGTAGGGCAGATTGATTTCACACAGACAAATCACGAGTAAAAGATGTCACAAATAATGGTTGGTTTACAGCATTACTTCACTCACAGATATATTCTCTAGTTGCCCGCTGAGGTCCACAGCTGGGATTTCTTTGTACCAACCAAAAGCTAGATTCCGTGTGACAGACAGGGTCACATTGACGGGTTCTAAAATTAGACACTGGCCCACTATCTCTTTGTGGTTATTCAGCTCCGCTCTGTAAAATTTAGTGAGCAATTATGAAAATACTTTCAGATTTTTTTTTACTGTTTCATTACAAAAGGAGAATCCCATTAACTTGATTCCACATCCATAAACCTTTAATAGTGTATAATACAAGGGTCTTTGGATTTTCCTTCCTTATAACCAAGATTCTTTTTATCTGTATGAAGTTTCCTACAGAACTCAGGAAAAATCCTTATAACCAAGACTTCCTTATAAGAATGATCTTTATAATCAAGTTGTACTGTATAAAACCAACAGTTAGCCTTACTCTTTTTTACAACAATTTAGTAATCTTATCATTCAAAGAAAGACTTCAATTTTTGGCACCACTCAACTACACCCAATCTAGTCTATCAGTTATAATAAAGATAAAATATTGAAATAATTTGTGATTATTTTTTTGTGCTTTAATTTTTAATTGAATGGTAAACATCACAAAAATATGATAGCAAATAACTCAAATGGTATGAATAATTATTCAAATGGTATGAATAATTATTCAAATGGTGTGAATAATTATTCAAAATCCATATACCTGGCAACTTTTAGGGACTTAAGACAAATCTTCATGGAATCTAAAACAGCTGGAATATCTGCCTTTGTCTTCACAGGACTGAATGAATTCCCAATCTCCAAATGGCCAAAATCCACCATCAGCACATTTAACGAGTCTGATCTCTGGGGTACAATAATAACTGGTGCACTCATTCCGACTCGGATTGAAATCCGCGGTGACTTCTCCGCGAGGCGAGCTACCGCACCCCTGGCGCTCTCTGCTACTGCTTCCGACGCCTCCCGTACTCGGTCCCTCGCTGCCTCAATCTGACTTTCCAGTTCCTCGACTTGGAAACCATTCAGGTAATCCTGAATTTGAGATTCATAAGATTAAATATTCATCATATGAAATTTACATGCAAGTAAAGAATAGCCATAAAATCAAATTTAATTTTTACCATGTGTCTTCATATTTAACAGACAATAGAGAACACAGCTTGAAAAAGTACTAATTATAAAATCCCAAAGTTTGCATAATTTAACTTGATTACCTGAACAATAAACACACTTTTCTTTAAAGACAGGGCTCCTAGTCTTTTATTTTCATTTACAAAATTAATAAATTTTACAATAGCAGAAGATGCTAGTGATTTTGAGTCAAACCTCCGAATAGGAGATATGCAACCATGAAAAATAATTAATATAAAGTTTCTATTATTTACCAGAAGGTCATTGACAAATCTCATTAGGAACACAGCCCTGATACATCCCAGCTGTACGTCGACACTCGTATCAACACACGACATGTCAGAGTAGTTCTCTCCCTCTGTTGCGTCATTGTAAATCGTCAGAGCCAGCTTCAACACTGCGTCACCTTGTATCTCCATCACCTTCAATAGAAATTATTCTCTTGTACTCTACACCTGTAAGAGAACTTCTTACGGCGAAATATTTCTACTGATTGACACACTTATAGAGAAATGCCACCGAGTAAGATGCATCACTTCCTATAGGAAGACATTATTGTACATGTATCCTCTTATTTATTGTCTCTGCCTATCTAACCACTTTCTATGGTAAATGACTACAAATAAGAGAATAACATAAATATTTTCCGGCCAGAGAATTTTCCATGGAAAATATTTATGTTATTCTCTTATTTGTAGTGTATGACCTCTTGTGTTAGCACTTTCTATGGTAGAAATACTCAGTCTTATACTAATAAGAACTGGAAGTGAGCGAGAGGGGTCCACGTTTTTATGCATTACATTCAAAATTTTTAATATAATCTTGTTGTAGCAACCCTTACTTTTGGGTATTTTGTGGTAGCATTGATGTCATACACAGTAACCTCCCTTAGTTCAGATGTAACACTGGTCTTACTGTCCTGTAATACAACTCCCGCTGATATTCCTAGAAATACAACACAATAATTCACCATTATTCTCTATATTAACAACTCCTGCTGATATTCCTGGAAATACATACAACACAATAATTAACCATTATTCATTTTAATAACAACTCCCACTGATATTCCTAGAAATACAACACAATAATTAACCATTATTCTCTATATTAACAACTCCCGCTGATATTCCTGGAAATACAACACAATAATTAACCATTATTCTCTATATTAACAACTCCCGCTTATATTCCTGGAAATACAACACAATGATTAACCATTATTTACTTTATAACAACTCTCACTGATATTCCTGGAAATACAAGACAATAATTATTAAAAACCATTATTCACTTTAATAACAACTCCCCCTGATATCCCAGGAAATACAAGACAATAATTATTAAAAACCATTATTCACTTTAATAACAACTCCCCCTGATATCCCTGGAAATACAACACAATAATTAACCATTATTCAGTGTAATAACAACTCCCCCTGATATCCCCGGAAATACAACACAATAATTAACCATTATTCAGTGTAATAACAACTCCCACTGATATTCCTGGAAATACAAAATCATAATTAATCATTATTCACAGCGACTATAGCGAAATTATAGCAAAATTCACTGTAAAAAAGTCATAAAGACCTGTTGTTCTGATTCTGGCTTTTTATCACAAACTGTACAATCAATTTACTAATGGCAAAATTATTTTATTGATTCACTATAAAATCAGAATTGAACCATTGATTCACTCTACAACAGATACATGTACTTACCGTTGATTCACTCTACAACAGATACCTACCGTTGATTCGTATGTTGGTTAAGACACTGTTGTTGGTACACACTGCCACTCCGAACCCCTCCAGCTCAGCTGTTACACGCATGTTGATTCGGGAGTCCTCGGGCTCTACAGAAAAGATCCGGGGAAATAGAGGTCAAAATAAACTAACCAATTATAAGACTTGATTTTCTTATGGACAATACAGAAATTCAATGTAGATTACAATAACCCTATCCCAACCTTTTTCAATACTAGAAAATGTTAAGAGGTTAAGGTACATTGTACCATTCTGGGGTGGAAAAAAAAATACTAGACTCAAAACAACAAATAATTTATCTTACATTTATTCAGATGCAGCACGAATAAAACAAAAAGGAGCCAAACTTAAAGGTTAATCCCTATTCAAAAGCATATAAACTTAACTTGTTAATTTTATTCATTTGACACACTGCTCAATTGTTGTAGACCATGACAGTAAGGTTTCCTAGAGAAACAGACAAAACAAATTAACATTGCAGTCCCCAGAAACCCTGACTCTAAGGTGTAACTCCAACCTTTCTTTTTAGTTTTGGTTGTTGTCTGTTTGTCTGTCTGTGTTGTCTTCTTCTGTTTATCCTTATCCTCCACCTTTGTTTCTCGAGGTGTGGACTCTGTGACCTGATAATGGTGACAGATTTTATTTTCATAAACCATGGATTCATCTTTAATCTACAGCATCAATCATTCTTTATCACACTAAAATCACTTATTTTTGTGGGAGCAATTTTTTGTGGCTTGAGATAAAAATCTGTTCATGGGGATTTGATTTTGTAAAACTGTACTGTTATAGTTGTGTTACTGACTAATTTGTAAACTGTGTACTAGTTGTATTGTTTACTTACTTGTAAATTGTGCTGTGACAAACTTGTAAACATTGTGGTTGTTGTCTTGTTGACTATTTTGAAAACTTATGTTGTTGATGTGTTTTTGATTTCCTTTTTAAACTATGTTGTAGTTGTGTTGCATTGTTGACTTACTAGTAAACTACATTGTAGCTGTGTTGATTTAATTGTAAACTATTGTAGTTGTGTGTGTTGTTGACTTACTTGTAAACTACGTTGTAGTTGAGCGGCAAATTTCAAAACACTCAGCAGCGCCTCCTGGTGAAGAAGTACTTCAAAGGAGGTAAATCTGATGTCAATTGTCTGCTCAGTGTTTTCAAATGTTGTACTGAATTCTGGGCCAGTGGGGTCTGCCTAATAAAATCAGAAAAATTCCTATTTTAGAAAAAAAAAAAAACCCTACCAATTCTTAAGAATGGCACCATTTCAAAAGAACATAAAGAAGAAAAATAGATGTAGAAAATTTTCTCTAAATTAGTAAATTGTGATTTCTGCCAATTCAAAACAGGAGGCCCATGGGCCAAAATGCAAACCTGAGTAACAATGGCCCTGCTGTTCTTCAAAATCCAATTTAATAAATTGTGTTTTATACCAATTCAAAAAAAAAATAAAAATAAATAACTTTTATAAGACAATCTTTATCAAATACACAAAAAGTTACAGACCGTATCACTAGTGACTTTTATCTAATGTTTGTACCAACTGTTGCAAACCATACAAGATTATCTTGTCGTAAATAGGTTAACATTTTAAAATTTTTTCACAAGCAACTCAAAAAATTATATGTTATCTCTAACTTCATTTGTTTTCTTGCCCCCAAAAATCTCAATTTGAGGAACTTAAAAACATAATACAAATCATTATCTAATTTAATACAGTGAAACTTGTCTAACCTGGATATTGTGTAATGCGAAATTTTGTCTAATACAGTGTAAACTTTAAGTCCCATTGCAGTAAATTTGATTGATTTAAATGTTGTCCAATCTGGAATGTTGCCTAATCCTGCCAATTTCTTCGGAATCAGTGGGGGTCCAGATTAGACAAGTTTTATAATTGTACATTACGCTGTGTGCTACCTCCCTAAATCTTACCTTGTGGTAGTTAAAACTATGCAGTCTTGTTCCCTCCTCTGTAGGTGTGTTTATCAGGTTTTAGTGTACTTTATGCTGTGTTCTACCCCCCTAAATCTTACCTTGTGGTAGTTAAATCTAAGCAGTCTTGTCCCCTCCTCAGTAGTGTGTTTATCAGGTTTTACTGTACTTTATGCTGTATTCTACCCTAAATCTTACCTTGTGGTAGTTAAAACTAAGCAGTCTTGTTCCCTCCTCAGTAGGTGTGTTTATCAGGTTTATCAGGGGTCCGCCTTCTAATGCTATCAATGAAGAATTAATTATTACATATCCGTATAGATCAATTGCTGTCAATGATAAGGCCAAATGAAAAAATATGTGTGGTTCCGGTTACCCGACCGTCCCTATTTTATACTCCGGACCCTAAACTTTTTTTTGGTAATTTTCATATTTTTTCCGGAATTTTCCCTGATTTCTATCAATGGCTCCGGTTTAAGTTTTAGTTTCAGCAATGACGGCCTCCTTGCAAAACATAGTGTAAGTTTTTAATAGTATTAAATCCAAAGTAAGCTAGCATGTAGGTGTCCCCTACCAATATTGTCTAGTATATTATCACATCACATCTAAACGCCACTTGCAAAAGAATGATAGGTATTATTTAGAAAAATTAAGAAAATCATTTTGTTTTAAAAATTAAAAAAAAAAAACCTACCTACCTACCCTAATTTTTTTGGAGGTGTAACCGGAACCACACATATTTTTTTGTTTGGCCTAACTACTGTAAATATGGAAAATGATGTGGGGGTAATTTATGCTAAATATGCAATTAGAAAGATTTCCTGTAAATATCCCCTGTGTGTTAAGGACTTTATACATAACTAGTTCAGTTTTCACAATACAGCAAAACTTGTTTACTAGTACGAACAAGGATATAGTTTCCCTTAGAGATTGACAATGATATTTTAATTACATCTTTTATAATGACTTCTTTTTTTTTAAATCTCAAAACTTAAAATATTAAGACATTTTTTTTGTTGCAAGATTTTATAGTTGAAATTCAATTATTCCAAAAACTTTAGAAATCCAAGCTAAGTTTTCTCTGAACATACTCTTTTGTGGTGCTTTTAGAAGCATGTCCTAACATAAATGTTGTGATTTAGCAATAACTACTTTCATGAATTCGTTATATAGCTATAACAAATAATAGATATAGCAAAGTAAATTGACTGGTCCCCATGACTTCGTTATAACTAAACCAACTAAAGTTTACGTTATATAAGTCTGGTATCACAGAAAAAAAAAATGTGTAATGTGCTTGGTATTAATTCATGTAATTAACAACATGCTATACATTCAAGTTTACAAAATTTAATTTCTACAGGAACTCATTCTCATTTGCCAAATGAATATCATCTATTCATAAAATTTACTACTTAGATTGAAAATAATAAAATAATAATACACATTTTTTTGCTGAAGATATAAGACCCATGGGCCACAATGCTCACCTGAATAACAGGTTGTTGAATGAGTCTAAGTAATTACTGTGGAATCATTTAAATTCGTGGGGGTCAATGTTCGTGGGCAAGCAAAATTGTATTGGTTCGTGGGGATGTAATTTCGTGGGCAGCTCGTTTATTTGGTAGATCTAATTAATCAGTACGTTGACAAAATAGTTGTTCGTGGGGATGTAAATTCGTGGGTAAGGGTTACCCACGAAATCCACGAACATTGATCCCCCACGAACAATGATGATTCCACAGTACACTCAGTAACCTGTCAGTGAGTTACCTGTAGTTGTTGATTGAGTCTGAGTTATAACACTCAGTAACCTGTCAGTGAGTTACCTGTAGATGTTGAGTCTGAGTAATTACACTCAGTAACCTGTCAGTGAGTTACCTGCAGTTGTTGAAGAGTCTGAGTAATTACACTCAGTAACCTGTCAGTGAGTTACCTGTAGATGTTGAGTCTGAGTAATTACACTCAGTAACCTGTCAGTGAGTAACCTGTAGATGTTGAGTCTGAGTAATTACACTCAGTAACCTGTCAGTGAGTTACCTGTAGATGTTGAGTCTGAGTAATTACACTCAGTAACCTGTCAGTGAGTAACTGTAGATGTTGAGTCTGAGTAATTACACTCAGTAACCTGTCAGTGAGTTACCTGTAGATGTTGAGTCTGAGTAATAAAAATCAGTAACCTGTCAGTGAGTAACCTACAGTTGTTGATTGAGTCTGAGTTATTACACTCAGTAACCTGTCAGTGAGTTACCTGTAGTTGTTGAGTCTGAGTAATTACACTCAGTAACCTGTCAGTTAGTAACCTGTAGATGTTGAGTCTGAGTAATTACACTCAGTAACCTGTCAGTGAGTAACCTGTAGTTGTTGAATGAGTCTGAGTTATTACACTCAGTAGCCTGTCAGTGAGTTACCTGTAGTTGTTGATTGAGTCTGAGTTATTACACTCAGTAACCTGTCAGTGAGTTACCTATAGTTGTTGATTGAGTCTGAGTAATTACACTCAGTAACCTGTCAGTGAGTTACCTACAGTTGTTGATTGAGTCTGAGTAATTACACTCAGTAACCTGTCAGTGAGTTACCTACAGTTGTTGATTGAGTCTGAGTTATTACACTCAGTAACCTGTCAGTGAGTTACCTATAGTTGTTGATTGAGTTTGTCAGACTGAAACTAACTAAGCCTAAATAATAACACTGAGTTACATGATTTTACTTGAGAATATGATTTACTTTATTACCTGATGATGTCACAGATTGAAGCTGGGAACTGAGTCTGTCTGTGGCTGAAGTGACATGCAAAAAAGAAAAATTAATATTCACTCAAAACAAAACAGAAATAACCAAGACCCAGGGATTTAGAGGAAATATCATACACAGAGAATCTTGATGCATCAAAATCACACGGTAAGTTTAATGTTTGAAATGTAAATTTCAACAAAAATGATCCTCTGTAAAACCTGAATCTTGGCCTTGTAAACTCATGTATATTTATATCAAAAACAGTGCAAGGCCACACAAAACTAAAGTTATGTTAATAGTGTAGACATTTTCAATCATTAGTCAGGTATTGGGGAGGTGGGGGGACACATGGGTTTTCTGCCACTCAGTGCATTCAATATTTTTTTTTGTTATACAATATAATGTGCCCTTTGTTTCTTACACTCAAGTTCTCTTTAGTGAAAGATGCACACCTTGATTTTACAGAGGAATTCTTTTGTTTTACATAGATCCTTCAATTCCATTTATTTCCTATGGGCTGATTTGAAAGATTTATGCATTACTAAATAAATAATATTTATGTAATTTTTATCATTTGGTTTATTCTTTCCAAATTAAAACTGTCACTGGTATGAATGTTATGCATATCTTGGAGGACCTTGTTGAATTGTATTTATCTTTAGTTTTGTGTGGCCTAAAATAATCATTTAATTTAAATCTTTTTTTTTTTAACAAGCAATGAATTTCTCTGAAAGGAACATATTTCATAAATTCAAATTTGCAACTTTGGAAACCTAAATTAAAAGACAAAATATGAAGCATGCTTTACTAATTTAATACTGGCAGAGTTCACAAAATAACCATTTTTTCTCTCGGAAAATTAAGATTCGGCAACTTACATGCAATACATGCAGACCTCTCATCCAATGTTGATGACCTGAATGTGAAAAAATTGACCTATGACCTTAAAACACTGACCTTTGAACTTAAGATGCTGTAGATAAATTCCCCCTAAATAAGCCTCAGCCTCCATATCAAATTTACGGGTTGTTGCCTTGGTCCCCAGTGTCCGTAGGACCAGCTTAATCATCGGGACCTCCCCTGAGTCGGTATGTTCTTGTAAGCACACAGACACCTATAATTTAAGGTAGCACATCCATAAAGTTCCATAAGTCACCAGCAATTCACATTATAGAAGTACTTCCATTACATTCAGACAGACACCTACACAACACAGGGGTACTAAATTTATAAGTTAATTTGTAATCAAATCAGGCATTCATAACATTTTAATAGGAAAAGATGAAAAGACTGTATGCAACTACATAATATACTCAACCAAGAATAAGTACGATACTGCATCAAATTAATAAGAGATAATAAGCATTAAACTAAGGGAGATAAAACCTTGTGTGTTCCATGCTATAAAATTTATCATACTTGTCTGGTATAACACGTGATTCCTAGTTATCTCCCCTTACCTCTTTGATCTCAAACTTCATCTCCATCACAGTTCTGTTCACTACTTCCTGTGGGCGGGGAGACTTTAGATTCTCCTGTCAATCAAAAAATTATAACCAATCATGTTCTTAAATAGAAGTTAAAAACAAGATAAGAGAGTTCTGATTGGAAGAAAAGTTTTATTATATGTCAATTGATTATATATGAAACAGCAAAGGCACTGATTAATTGAAATTTTTCATTGGAGTTACATTAAATAAGGTCCCCGTGACAGAAAACGAGCACTTCTTCTGAATTAGGAATGAAGCAAATGGAGGGCAAATCTTTGTATAGAATTATTTGAAAGGTTTTCAAACAGAAGATGACATTAACTTCTTCCAGCAATTCTAAATATAAACCCCATTCAGGTACATATATTTTTTGGAAGAAATTCACACGTATCTTGTAATCTTATGGTAATATATAAATGTTTCTAATGGATATTTTGACAGAAAAAAATATTTTTTTGTGGTTCATTTTACTGTAATACACTGTTTTATTAAATGATCAGGAATTGGATGCTCTCTGATTGGTCTAGACTTGCTTTCCTGCTGTCTGATTGGTCTAGACTTGCTTTCCTGCTGTCTGATTGGTCTAGACTTGCTTTTCTGCTCTCTGATTGGTCAAGACTTGCTTTCCTGGGGTGTACCTCAGAGGGAGTTCACCTCCAAATGAAGATCCCGGAGGTTTATTTGGGTTTTCCCTCTTAACCAACCATAGATTTGCTTTCATTTTTTCGACCAATCAAATTACGCATTTTAAAGCATGTGTCATGTAAACCCGACAGACACCAGTACCGAAAAACCAAACCTCTTTATTAGTAAATGGTTGAGTATTTATTGTTTTATAATATTTTTTGACACATTTAAACAGTTGTTAACGTGTTGAAATATAATTATCATGTGTTGTTACTTTTAATTACACATTTTGTTACATGATCGATTGTTTATGTAATTTGTTGGAGACAAGAATTAATACATCAAAAATGTTGTAAAATTCCTGATTATTTAATAAAACAGTTTTTGACTTTTGAATTTGGTTTACTCATGACTATACGGACCTGGTCAGGTATTTGTTAACCTCAGCCTTTGGCCTTGGTCAACCAATACCTAACCAGGTCCGTATGAGTAGACCTCATCAAAAGTCAATAATTGTATAATATCTTTTTTTCAGAGAGTAATTTAATGGTAACTTGTCTCTATCCTGTAGATAATATTTACCAGTTCAGCCAGCTCTGCAGAGACATCAACCACTTTCTTCATCAGCTGGTTTTCATTAATGTCCAGGGGTACATCAAGGGCATCCTGTAATTTCAAAAAAGTTAAATAAATAAATAACATATGTCCAGGGGTACGTCAAGGGCATCCTGTAATTTAAAAAAAAACTTAAATAAATAAATAAATGTGGTAATGACTCAATCAAAACATTATTCAAAGAAGCTCATCAACCACTTATGATGTCACTTTGAAATTACGTGGATCATTTATGACTAAACAAAGAATTTATGCACATGTAATGATCCTGTTACTATATACAGGCTTAAACACTTGTTCAGATAGTATTATTTACTGACTGAAAATATGTCCTCCTCCTCCAGTACAACTGGTTCTTCTCCCTCGGGCAGGGGAATACTCTGGGCTAACTGGAGAATCTCCTGTAGCCGGAGGTCAGACAGACTGAGGCTCACCAGGGGGAGATCTCCACTGACCTTTATTCTGTGATAAAAATAGAGATATAAAGATCTTGTGTTATTATAGTAACTGTAGGTCAGACAGACAGAGGCTCACCAAGGGGAGATCATGAGAAATCTTTATCCTGTGTTAAAATAGATACAGTCAAACCTCGTTATCTTGAACTCAACTGGACCGATAAAAAAGTTCGAGATATCCGAGGATTCAAGATATCGAGGGTAAAATACATAATTAAGTGTTTGGGACTTACAAATCACTTCGGCATGTCCATGGTATTAGAGATATCAGTGTTCGAGATATGGAAGTTCAACAGTATTTCAAGATTGTGTAATAGGTTATTCCAAGAAAAACTATAAAATCATACATACGTTATCTTCAACTACATGAGGCCAAGACAAAAAAAAAACATCCAGATATCCAGAGATTTCAGATATTGAAGTTTAAATTTAAATGAAGACAGATATGGTTATCTCTTCCAGCTAACTTTGGCATATCTATGGTTTTTGAGATATTAATGTTTGAGATATCCAAGTTCTACTGTAATTAGTACCAAGACTCAAAAATACTTAAGAAAAGTCAGACCAAAAAGATCTAATTTCTATTTTCAACATAAATTTAAGCAACATTATTTTGTTTTCTTTCTCATTTGTATCCTCTCCCATGCTAGATTTATCATCATGTCTAATATAAATATAAAACTAATCTGTTGCTTAATTTCCTATACTCTACATTTTCAAAATCATGGACATCGCCATTAAAGTAACTAAAGACAATTAACTGTACCATAGATATGGAAGACTTCTATAACTAATATTAGCTGAGAGATGGTAATTTTTTAAAAATTTCCACATCAATTTTACTAAATGTGATATTTTTTCATAAAATTCACATAGAAGAATTTTGGTAATTCCCTTTTACTGTAATTTTCACATTAATTTCACTTGGTAAATTTTCACATTATTTCAATAGATGTGAAATTCACATGAGACACACTTTCCTGCACAAAGACTAAAATAAAAAGAAAATGAAACTTGTTTTGGATAACTGAAAATATGACCATAAATAAATCAATACTCTTTAAGGTACATGTCAACTAAAGGTAGTTTATCAGTGAAAGCCTACTTCGCCATCCGCCGATCGTTGTCAAACATGCTCTTCTGTAGAAGGAGGTTGATAGAGATGGGGTGAAGTACATGCTGAGGGGATTTCCCGACAGATCTCACAGAATTCCAATCCTCCCCTGAAACAAAACCAAATTCCTAGTAAAGTGATATCAAGTAAATTGTTACCAACAGGTACATTTACCTTTAAACTGTAGAATTAATCAATACATGTATGAATAATAATCACCAAAAACCATCATAGAGATTATCTTCACATGATTGTGTTCTATAACTTTCTTATACATACAGATTTCATACATACATTTCATACCGGGTATTTCATTTGTGGTGAAGTCATATATGTAATACCTAATTCATTTACGTATCTTACATAGTAAAATTCAATTCGACAAACTCAATGAAAAATTTACAATTAGACAAGGGTAAGATACTTACCTGTAGGATAATTGGGATTATCCGAGTCCTCTTACGTACATTCAGAGCTAAATATGCAGTATCCAGCGCATGCGCAGATAATGACCACTAATTCATAGAAACAATAAAAGTTTTCCCGCCACTACCCATCATAGTTAAAAAGTGCGAGGAAAGAGGACACACAGTGTCATGTAATACACATAAATAAGGGATGGGCAGGGAGGGATTTAGCTCTGAATGTACGACGAGGACTCGGATAATCCCAATTATCCTACAGGTAAGCATCTTACCCTTGTCTAATTGTAAATTATCCTTCGTCCTCTTACATACATTCATAGCTAAATATGCAGATTTCAAAGTATGTAAACATGTTTAATTATAAAAAGTATTCTTACCTAACTAGAGGACTTCAAAATTGTCTCTCCAAAGGAAACATCAGATGATACAGTAACCTTCCTATAGAATTTGTTGAAGGTTGATGCATTTGACCAATCAGCCACATTCATAATGTCTTTCACTGAAAGTCCTGCTTCTAAAGCTGCTGAAGTTGATGCACTTCGAGTAGAATGGGCACCATATCCACTTATCCCAGATCTAATCAAGACGGACTTGATCCATCTAGCAATTGTACTTGATGTTACTTGTCTGTGAGGTTTGAATATTGAAATGAACAATATAGTGCTACTTCGCAAGTCCTTTGTTCTTTCAATATAACATTGTAGAGTTGACTTAACACACAATTTCTTACACTTAGTGTAAGCTGGTAATACGACACTCTTGGCTGGCTTGCCAGGTCTTGATGTTTTTGTAAGTTTGTTAATCACAAAGACTGCCTTTGATGGGAGAATCTTCAAGAAATTAAGATCCAAAAATGCAATGGATTGTCTCCTATCTGCAGACACCAAAGCTATTAAAATAGCTAACTTATATGTCAAATCCTTTAGTGACAATTTGTCATTACACGGTAATGAATTAAGAAATTTCAAAACAACTGAAACATCCCACACACAAGAATATTTTGGAACGGTTGGTTTTAAATTATATACACCTTTCATGAATTGAATAACAGTTGGGTGCTTTCCAACAGGAAAGCCATCAATTGGCGGAATAGTGGTAGATAAAGTTGAACAATAGCTATTAATTGCACTAAATGATTTGTTTTTCTGAAATTCACAAGACAAAAATTCCAAAACATCGACTATAGAAACTTGAAAGGGATCCATACTCCTGCTGCCACACCAGCCCAACCACAGTTTCCATGCAGATTGGTACTGTTTATTTGTTTTAGTTCTCCATGCTTTGCTGAGAATTTCTGCTGTTTTCTTCGAAAATCCTCTTGTAACGTAATGTCTCCGCACACTGTCCACGCGACTAATTTGAGAGTCTTCTCTAATGGGTGTCTCAGTTCTCTGTTGTATGGAAGTGTTAACATGTTGTTCACTACAGGAAGAAGAATTGGATTCCTGCAAGACAAATGAAGAACTTGTGGATACCACGGTTGAGTCTTCCAAAAGGGAGTTATCAATATTAGTAGAGGATTGTCCCTTGTTACTTTCTGAAGAACAGCAGATATCAGGTTGAACGGTGGAAACGCAAAGGCTTTCAGGTTTGTCCAAGGAATTGAGAAAGCATCTGTTTTCCAGGCCAAAGGATCTAGTTGCCATGACACGTAACGTGGAATTTGGAAGTTCAGACGACTTGCAAACAAATCCACTTGTGGATGGAAAAGTTGTCGAAATATCCTGTAAGTTAGGTTCTGATTCAATTGCCATTCCATCTGATCCATAAAATGTCGACTCAGTTCCAGAAAATTGATATGCAACTGCATCTCCTCGGTTGACCATCTGCCTGACACTCGGCATTGGTTCATCTCTCCCCCCCATCCTCTTTTGGAAGCATCTGTTGTTATAATTATGGTCGGATCTTGAAAATGTATAGGTTTTCCATTGAGGGCTTCCAAGTTTTGAATCCACCACTGAAGCTCTATTACCGATTCTGGAGATATCTTCATTTTCCCTTGGTAAGACTGGACAAGAAACAAAGCCTCTGTCTTGTCTTTTTCCAAACAACGATAGTGGAGGGGGCCTTGGTAAACTGCAGGAAAAGTTGAAACAAGAAGGCCTATGACATGTGCTACAGAACGAATTTTGGGTTGTATCTGAAGAAGAAGATTCTGAATTTCTTTGAGAATTTGTTGCACCTTTTCTTGAGGTAATGAAACTGTCATCTTCACTGTGTCTATAACATAGCCTAGAAATGTGATTGACTGGGTTGGTTGAAGTGAGGATTTCTTCTCGTTGATTTGGAATCCTGCTTGTTGAAACAGGTTCACTACAGAAGTACCTGTTTCCTCCACTGTCTGAGCAGTCCTTGCCATCCACAGAGAATCGTCGATGTAAATTATGCCTCGGTGACCGTGAGACCTCAGAGCTGACATAATTGTTTTGTGCATTTGGTGAAAATTCTTGGGGCAGATTTGAGACCAAAAGGTAGGCACTGAAACTCGTACCTCTGATCCTTCCAAATAAATCTCAGATATTTGCGATGGTGATGATGTATTGGGATGCTGAAGTAAGCATCCTTCAGATCCACACTGATAAGAAAATCTCCCTCTTGAAGTAGGTTCAATGCTGTTTGAAGTGTTTCCATTTTGAAGTGAATTGTTTCCACAAAGTTGTTGAATGGTTTTAAATTTATTATTGGTCTCATTCCTCCAGATTTCTTTGGAACTAAGAATATTGTTGAAATAAATTCCTTCGGAGCTTCCAGTACAGGAATAATTGCTTGTTTTTGGAGAAGAGAATCTATTTCTTCTTGAATTAAAATTAATTTGGCCGAATTTTTTGGTACTGGAGTTATCCGAGGACTGTGTTGATATGGCATCATTGAAAAGTCTTGAATTATTTCCAATATTTTTTAATCTGTCGTTAAGGTTCTCCAAAATGTTAAGTGATTTTTCAAATTTCCTGAACCTACTGTGACTTGGAGTTTTTTGATACTGTTGTTTTCGAAGAAGTTGATGTTGATGGGTAAGGGTTCCATCTGTAGTTTTTTGATTGTTTTTGACTATTGAATTTTTTGTATGGCCGAAAGGAATCTCTGGATTGTGACCGAAAGGTATCTTTAGACTGTGAACGAAAGGAAGTTGAATTTTTGTTTGTTTTGAACATTTTAGTGGTTGCCCGAGAGGCCTCTGTAATATCCTTACATGCTTTAGAAAGCTCTTATCCAAACAGCTCATCTGTGACTTCTTGTGATTTTTTACACAGTTCTTTGTAGTCTCCTTGAAATAGATGTTTCAGATGTTCTCTACGTGAGTTAGACATCAAAAAGGAGGCATGAGAAAGAAGGAAAGTGGCATCCTCTGATATTGTGAGTAGTTCACTGACCATTTCATCATCAGGATTTGATTTCTTCAAATCATAAATTTTATCAGCAATCAAACCTACAGCATAAATGCCACTGCAAAGGGTGCCCTGAGTCTTCTGGAGGCCGTGGTCTAAGTCTTTGTTGAATCTTGACATCTTTTTGTAGATCGAGCCGTTCACTGTGGGGACCAGTAAAAACGGAACATTACTATGACGGTTGTATTTTTCCTGTATATCCTTTACAAAATCCTAGTCAGCGGTTGAGGTGCTGGCTTTACTCATCATATCAGCTAAAGATTTGTTAACATTACTAGAAGTCTTACTTTTAGCAAATGCTGAGCCAAACCTGGAATCGTCCTCTAAATCCGAATCTTCATCAGCCTTTTCTTCCGTTTCTGATTCCTTGTGCCTGTCGTCACTTGTCAATTTTTTTCTCTTGGAAGGTCGTTCATCATCATCATCATCATCATCTCGTTGTTTAGTGTCTGATATTATCAATGACGATAACTCTTTAATTGAATTGACAATTGCGTCGATTCCCAAAGCTTGGTGCAAAGAAGCAACCGTGTTTTTGTCCAGTATGGGCGCCGCCATGTTGGGTGTGATGTCAGTCGAACTTCCGGTAACAGATAAACCAGACTGTGCAACCGAATCCGGAAAATTTTTAGTCCCACAAATATCAGATGATCGCTTTTCTGTAAGTTGAGCAACTGGTGTAGCAAATACTGGTTTATTCGGTGTAGAATGGCGAAGCCAGCGAATAGGCGAACCTTGCGCCAAAGCAGGTCCACTAAAAGTGGAGCCAAATGGATGGCGTATCGAATTACACGCATCCTCTGCCTGAATTTGCTGCGAGAAATGAACTCCAATATTTGAGCTAGCGTTGCTCAGTTGTGGCAATGCCACAGAAAAGGTGGGATCTGAACCACAATTGTTTGGCATTGAAGCCTCTGTGGGCACTTTAGTCAGCTGCTCTGAGGCAGCGTGCCCTGCCATGTTAACTAATGGCGCCAGCATCTCTTGGTCCGTCGCCGTCGATTTCTTCTCAGAACGTGAACTTGGTGAGTCCGAACGATGTTGAATTATAATATACTCCTGACTATCATCCATAATAAAGTAATAAAAATAACAGATGAAAATGTCCACAAATACGTAAAAAACAAAAAGAAATTGGATACACAACGCGGGTGGTCTTCTCTGAGCGAGCACTGAATTAACTTTGATGGGTAGTGGCGGGAAAACTTTTATTGTTTCTATGAATTAGTGGTCATTATCTGCGCATGCGCTGGATACTGCATATTTAGCTATGAATGTATGTAAGAGGACGAAGGATAATTGCCATATGCTATCTAAGTAATCATTTAAAATTTCACTATTTTCAAGTGTTCAACAACTGTTACTGTTAACCATGCAGGCCTCTAAGGGACCTCAAAAATTTAGGCGCCAGCTGGCGCCTTATCAATAAGATTTAGTCGCCAGTGCACATTTTTAGTCGCCAGGCAATTTTTTCTTTAAGGCGCCAACTTTAAAAAATTAATAGTAATCAATATAGAGACCCATGGTGTGATTAAAAACACATGACATGTCCATTGCTAAAAATAGTTTCCTCTTCTTTTAAATTTCTTTTTGCATTTTCATAAAAATTGTTTAAAATGTTAAAATTAATAGAATTCGACAATTGCTAAGTCAAATTAAAATGGTCGCCAATTTAGCGACTTATGAAATATTTTTAGGCGCCAATAAAAAATTTTAGGCACCATGGCAACTAAATTAGTCGCCAATTAGAGCCCTGTACACTATGGAAATAAATCACTGATCTGCTATTAGTTATATAGACCCTTGAAGTCTAGAAGGGTTTAAAGAAGGAGTTAAAGCAATTTTCTGAAGTTTCCAATCAGATAAAAGGTGTGAAAGAATTTGATGTAAGCTAAAAGAATGTGTTGTACAAACAAACAAAAAAAAAACAATTACAGAATTGATTACATTTTTCTTACCTGGTTTTGCATATAAAATTTGTATTTGGTCCAACTTGATTTTAAAGTTGTCATAAGCCCTGGACATCACATCCTCCACAGCTAATGTCTAGAAAACACAGCATAAAACAGAAATAAACATTATAAAACATTCACATCTCTGCATCAAATCAAAACTAAGTTAAGACATTAGGTACAGTAAAACTTATCTGGACACGAGTGGTTGGATTGGATATTCCGGATTAGACAACATTATAAACAACTGAATCCCAAAGGGACTCAATGTTTACATCATTATAGACTTGGGAAAAATTTCAGATTATACAACATCTGGATAAGACAAGTTTCACTATAGTTTATGAACATCATTGAAATAATTATTCCATATATTAGAAAATATATGCTGCAAGGACTAATGCATGATTGTTCTTTGGGTTAAATAAGCATACAGTGTTATATTGTAAATAATATACTGTTATCTTACAGCTAGTCTACACTTATAAACTAATCTCATTCTGTATGCAATGGAATTTCACACTACAACTCTCATGAAAATTGCTGGTGACATCTTTGCAACAAATTACAATCATGTCAAAATAAAATACTATTTATTAGGAATTAGGAGGAAAATTGGGAAAATATGTAAGACTTGAGTACCGTGGTAATATTTTTCATTACTACACCAATACCCCTTATCTACAGAAAAAAAGTCAGAAAAATTAAAGGATTACAGATTACCAGGAATAATAGGGAAATAAAGGTATACAGTAAAACTTGTTTAGTACGAACACGGATATAGCGAATTCACGGATATAACAAATTTTCCTTGGATCCCAGCTAAATAAATTTAACAAATTTCTTATACGGATATAACGAATTACGGATATAGCGAAGTATAGCGAAGTAATTTCACAGGTCCCAGTGACTTCGTTATAACCGAGTTTTACTGTATATACATGTATCTTTAGTTAAAAACTGAAAATCATGCAAAGAGGACATTAAAAAAAGTACCCAAAATAAGTTCTTACAAAGCAGTAGCTCTTAATGGTAGCTTTATTTAGCTTTGTAACAAAGTAACCTCTAACCCAACCCAACCCCCCCCCCTCAATACATCAGAATAATTAGGACTCTGACACACTAACTTCATCCTATAAGACTGTTGGTTTAACCTTCATGCAAATTTATCATTGTGACACTTATCCCATCCTAAACACAACTTAATTAAGTCCAAACTCCATCCTAACAACCATATCCCTGCAATATCCATTTTCATCCAAAACCATGTGAATCTCTATCCTCAACTCATATTTCTATGCATCTTCTCTAACGATACACCATATCAGCTTCCCAATGTCACCTTCTATCTGTAAACCAACCACTGTGACATTCATCACCTGTTTACTCCTTTAGACAGTAGACATATTTCATACAGTATCATTTTCATATCAACAGTTGTGAGGTCACAATGGTTTTGGGGTAAAATTGATGAAATCAAATGAAGTGGGTTAAATTCGCATATCAAAACTGTTTAAAACATGTTAAGGCTAGTATGTGTAAAACATGTGATAAAAAGAATATCCCTTTGGTTTGAGGTTGGATATGATTTTTATCCAACTTATTGTGTGTTTTCCATTCTCACACCAAGGCTTCTTGATAGAAAACACAGAACTTGTTGGATAAAAATCAAATCTAACCACAAACCATGAAAGATACTATATATATATCACTGTGGCCACGTATCATCACACTTAATCTATGACGGTTTCCACCCCTGTCTCTATCACTGGATCCTACTCTTACTATATATCTAAGTGAACCCTACTCTAACCTCACTACACATTAACCCCTAACCCCACCCCAACTATAACCCCATAATTCTGTCCCTTGTGAAACAAATCTGAGGAAAAGCTTGAAATCATAGAACATCATATTTCTGTTTAATTCAAATATGAAGAAAAATAACTTGAGAAATATTTCCATCCAAGAAGTATTTATAAAACTGAGGTTCCCATGTACCCAAAAGACTTGTCCAAAGGGAGAAAAAAAGTCATGAGAAAGATACTACACAGTGGATTCCAGTAATTATCTCTAGATTCTTAGGTGCCTCCTCATGAAGTCAAACACTGCAGCAATTTTATTCATGTTAAGAATTTGGAATAATTAAATTTTCTATAAAGAAAATTAAGTTATTTCTCTTTTCACTCAAATTTAGAAAAAGCCAATCATCTATTAGATATGCAATATACATCTAGATAATCCGTCTAATATACATCACTTGATACATCAGTGCTTTATCAATAAACTTATAAAAAAATTTGGAAAAATATTTTTAAAAAAATTTTCAGACAAGATTGAGTTAGTATTATAATTTTTGTCAGTAAAAAGAGAGATAACTCTTTTTTAAACAAGAGGCCCAGGGGCCACATCATTCACCTGAGCACTATGGCTAGGAAAAAGCAGAAATCACTTCAATCTTGAAAGGTTGAAAAGTTTAAATATAAAAGTGGTTGGGGGGGGGGGGGGGTCATGAATTGAACAAATTTGAATCTACATTATCTGAGGATGCTTCCATTTGAATATGACCAATCATGGCTTTGCTGTTCTTGAGTAGAAGATTTTTAAAGATTTAACCTATGTATTCCTATGTAAAACTTTGATCACCCATTGTGGCCCCACCAGACCCCCAGGGGTCATATTTGAACAAACTTGAATGTACACTATCTAAGAATGCTTCCATATAAATATGACCAATCATGGCTTTGCTATTCTTAACAAATAGGTTTTTTTTAAAGATTTTTACTATGTGTTCCAATGTAAAACTTTGATCACCCATTGTGGCCCCACCCGACCCCCGGGGGTCATGATTCAAACAAATTTGTATGTACACTATCTGAGGATGCTACCATATAAATATGACCAATCATGGCTTTGCTATTCTTAACAAATTTTTTTTTTTTTTTTTTTTTTTAGAATTTTTACTATGTGTTCCTATGTAAAACTTTGATCGCCCATTGTGGCCCCACCCGACCCCCAGGGGTCATGATTTGAACAAATTTGAATGTACACTATCTGAGGATGCTACCATATAAATATGACCAATCATGGCTTTGCTGTTCTTGAGAAGAAGATTTTTACTATGTGTTCCTATGTAAAACTTTGATCGCCCATTGTGGCCCCATCCGACCCCCGGGGGTCATGAGTTGAATAAATTTGAATGTACACTATCTGAGGATGCTTCCATGTAAATATGACCAATCATGGCTTTGCTGTTCTTGAGAAGAAGATTTTTAAAGATTTTTCCTATATATTCCTATGCAAAACTTTGATCGCCCATTGTGGCCCCACCCGACCCCCAGGGGTCATGATTTGAACAAACTTGAATCTACACTACCTGAGGATGCTACCAGGTAAATATGACCAATTATGGCTTTGCTGTTCTTGAGAAGAAGATTTTCAAAGATTTTCCTATATATTCCTATGTAAAACTTTGATCGCCCATTGTGGCCCCATCCTACCCCCGGGGGTCATGATTTGAACAAACTTGAATCTACACTACCTGAGGATGCTTCCAAGTAAATATGACCAATCATGGCTTTGCTGTTCTTGAGAAGAAGATTTTTTAAAGATTTTTCCTGTATATTTCCTATGTAAAACTTTGATCGCCCATTGCGGCCCCGCCCTACCCCCGGGGGTCATGATTTGAACAAACTTGAATCTACACTACCTGAGGATGCTTCCACATAAGTTTCATGTTTTCAAGCACAGTGGTTCTTGAGAAGAAGATTTTATAATGATGCCATTTATTTTTCACGAATTCTTAATTATCTCCCCTTGGAAGAAGGTGTGGCCCTTCATTTGAACAAACTTGAATCCCCTTTACCCAAGGATACTTTGTGGCAAGTTTGGTTGAAATTGGCCCAGTGGTTCTTGAGAAGAAGTCGAAAATGTGAAAAGTTTACAGATGGACAGACGGAGAGACGGACTACAGACAAAATGTGATCAGAAAAGCTCACTTGAGCCTTCGGCTCAGGTGAGCTAAAAAAAAAAAAAACTGCCTGAGGCATATGATTTTGAATTTATTGGCCTGAAAAACGTTTTTTTTTTCTGAAGATAATCAATAGTTTAAGCAATACGAACAAGTGTGCCTTTTATCTGACCAGTTAGAGATCTTTTTTAATGTAATATAATTGTTTACACATTAAGCCTACAGGCAGGAACCCACTGTTATAAGTAAATTGGTGTATTAAAACTACCATCTTTGGATCAAAGACTTTTTGTGCAGCTTTCCAACCCTTTTGCTAAATGAAAGTAAGAATCTATCATTTATACTGATAGTAGGTAAACAATCATTTAATAATTACAATGACTGGTTTAAATAAGAACACACAATCAATCCTTCTCTTCAATAAATTATCTTCTTAATTCTCCACATTTGGACAAAAATGTGCTTATTTCCTCACTGTAAATCCTTTCTACAGATTAAAACTAACTGCTTCAACAGATAGATGGAGTCATTTTCTCTCAGTGCATATTGTTACTTAATAAATATTTCAAGTCACTGTTAATATTGTTACAGTACTAATTAATACTTCAAATAATTGTACTGTTACTATAATAAATATTTCAAGTTACTGTAATAGTTACTATAAATACCTTGCTGTCCCCAACTTTATTTTTCTCACTATTGACCTTCAAATTTCCAAGGTCAAGGACCAGAATATTAACAGCACCCCTAAAAAAAAGACAAAAATAGATCTGTATTTCTAAGTCTCTCTGGGATTTGAATTTAAAACAAGTCATTGAAACAAGAAATGTTTATAAAACAATAAATTTCCCTTTACCACATCTTTAATAAAACATTAATTATCAGGCAAAGCCAATCTTGTATAAACTTGATAACTGCCAAGAAAAGGATGTTCAAAGGGATATTTCTATGTTTCCTTGAGCTATACATAAAACTTTATAAAAATTTGAAAATCAATTTAATTAATAATGAGTAGCTTACTTTTTATAATATCCACCATGAGGAATAATGACATGCGACGGTTTGAGATCCACGCGTATGTCTGTATACTTGTGTTGCTCTATTGCGTGTTTCAGTCCTGAAGCAGACTGTTCCTTAATGTCCTCAAACTTAGCCATAGCAGCTCTCGACAACCTGGGGAAAATGTCAAAGTTCATTAACAATACAATCTGTTTGATTTGATTTCATACCAAGATGCCTTCAGACATGGTCATTTCAGCTTGTGACAATCTTGGGGGAGGGATGTTTAGGTTAGTTACAGTAAAAAACATAATTATAGCAAACAATTCAATGAAATTTAATTTTGACTATTTACTGTTGACGTGAAATTTCACTTTGCCTATTTACATACTGTTTGAGATATACTTCCTTGGGAGGTTTGAAAAAGTCAGCCATGTTGTTGATAGAAATCTGTAAAAAATATGTCAATATAGCATAATTATGTCTATATATCATATGTCAATATATCACATGTCTATAGGTCATATGTCAATATATCATGTCTATATATCATATGCCAATATATCATATGTCAATATATCGTATGATGGAGGATTACTTCCACACTAATTGACTGAAATCCAATATAATCATGACAAGAGGCCCATGGGCCAGATCGCTCACCTGAGCACATTGGCTAGGCAAAAGCACAAATCAGTTCAGTATTGAAAAGATTACCTGGGGTTTGGGGGGGAGGGGGGGGGGGGGGGCTTGAATTTTAAACTACCTGATGATGCTTCCATGTCAATATAACAAATGGCTTTATTGTACTTGTAAAGATTTTAAAAAAATTTTCCCATATATTCCTTTGTAAAAATTTGATCCTCCATTGTGGCTCCTCCCTCTCTCAGGGGTCATCATTTGAACTTGAATCTACACTACCTGAGGATGCTTCCATATCAATATGACTAAACATAGCTTTCCTGTACTTGAGAAGAAATATTTTCTCTATATGTTCTTATGTAAAACTTTCGATCCCCCAATGGGCCCCATCCAACCCCTGGGGGTCATCATTTGAACAAAATTGAATCTACACTACCTGAGGATGCTTCCATATCAAAATGACTAATCATGGTTTGCAGTTCTTCAGAAGAAGATATTTCCCTATATATTTCTACTTAAGACTTTGATCCTCCATTGTGGCCCCGTCCTACCCACGGGGGTCATGATTTGAACAAAATAGAATCTACACTACCTGAGGATGCTTCCATATAAATATGATCAATCAGGGCTTTGCTGTTTCTGAGAAGAAGATTTTTAAAATTTTTCCTATACATTTCTATGCAAAACCTTGATCCTCCATTGTGGCCCCGCCCTACCCCCGGGGGTCATGATTTGAATAAATTTGAATCTACACTACCTGTGGATGTTTCCATATAAATATGAACAATCTGGGCTTTGCTGTTCCTGGGAAGAAGATTTTTCCTATATATTTCTATGTACAACTTTGATAGTCCATTGCAGCCCTGCCCTACCCCTGGTGGTCATGATTTGAACAAACTTGAATCTACACTACCTGAGAACGCTTCCATATAAATATGACTCATCATGGCTTTGCTTTTCTTGAGAAGAAGATTTTTAAAGATTTTTCCTATATATTATTTCTATATAAAACTTTGATCCTCCATTGTGGCCCCGCCCTACCCCTGGGGGTCATGATTTGAACAAACTTGAATCTACACTACCTGAGGACGCTTCCATATAAATATGACTCATCATGACTTTGTGGTTCTTGATAAGAAGATTTTTAAAGATTTTTCCTATATATTTCTATGTAAAACTTTGATCCTCCATTGTGGCCACGCCCTACCCTCGGGGGTCATAGTTTGTACAAATTTGAATCTACACTACCTGAGGATGCTTCCATATAAATATGACTCATCATGGCTTTGCTGTTCTTGAGAAGAAGACTTTTAAAGATTTTTCCTAAATATTTCTATGTAAAACTTTGATCCTCCATTGTGGCCCCGCCCTACCCCTGGGGGTCATGATTTGAATAAATTTGAATCTACACTACCTGTGGATGTTTCCATATAAATATTACTCATCATGACTTTGCTGTTCTTGAGAAGAAGATTTTTAAAGATTTTTCCTATAAATTTCTATGTAAAACTTTGATCCTCCATTGTGGCCCCGCCCTACCCCCGGGGGTCATTGTTTGAACAAACTTGATTCTACACTTCCTGATGATGCTCCCATATAAATATGACCCATCATGGCTTTGCTGTTCTTGAGAAGAAGATTTTTAAAGATTTTTCCTATATATTTCTATGTAAAACTTTGATCCTCCATTGTGGCCCCGCCCTACCCCCGGGGGTCGTGATTTGAACAAACTTGAATGTACACTACTTGAGGATGCTTCCACAAGAGTTTCATCTTTCCTGGCCGTATGGTTCTTGAGAAGAAGATTTTTAAATGTTGCCATTATTTTTTCACTAATTCCTAATTATCTCCCCTTGAAAGAGGGCGTGGCCCTTCATTTGAACAAACTTGAATCCCCTTTACCCAAGGATACTCTGTGGCAAGTTTGGTTGAAATTGGCCCAGTGGTTCTTGAGAAGAAGTCGAAAATGTGAAAAGTTTACAGACAGACAGACAGACAGACAGACGGACAGACAGACAGACGGACAGACAGACGGACGCCGGACAAAATGTGATCAGAAAAGCTCACTTGAGCTTTCAGCTCAGGTGAGCTAAAAAACTGTTCACCTTACACCATACTGACAAACATTACTCAAATGCACAGCAAAGACATTGCATGATATTACATTATAATTATCCTTCAGAATAATAATCTGATTGATCACATGCAGGGAGACAATTCAAAATGTCTCCCTCATGTGCAGGGTGAAAGCTAGTATAAATAAAATATTATGGATTGTTTAGTAAGGAGACCTCACAAATTATCATGTCTGAGTAGTTGTTATTGCCTTCAGATGCAAGTGACCTCAGATGACAAAAGTACTCAGATCAGCTGATAATTTGTGATGTCCCCCTACTAAATACATGTAGTCCATAATTGTATATTATATATTGAAAAATCATTATAAAAGGGAGATTAAAAAAACAAAACTAAACTCACTGCATCATAGACAATCTGTAGAGGTCGCGCCTCGAGGATGACCCTGGTGTCACAGCTACGGTCCAGAGGATTCGTCTCAAAATTAAAGTTCAACAACGAGTACACGACCTTTTTCTCCTCATTCAAGGACACCACTATTTTGGGTGTGGCGCCACCTTGTGGAGAACCGGCCACTATGAACCTATCTATCTTTCCTTCCACCCTGTAAATCAATGTAAGTTCAATGTCTTGTAAAATACTTTAATTACTTTTGATACAGCACTATTGGCTGACCTTTGACCTATACATGCATTACTTAGTTTAAGTAGAGAACTTTTGGTACATACTGAACAGCACTATCGGCTGGCCTTTGACCTACACAGGCATACACATCTTTCAACTGCAGTTTAAGAATCTGTGGCTCTCTGAAATTCAGTCATTAAACCAGATCAATAAAAATTCTTCTTTATACATGGACTGCACACAATTACTGCTAGAAAAATATAGTCTACATGGTTAGTGTTTTATTCAAATCGGACAAAAATAACAGAATCATTTACATTTAACTTATTTCAATATTACTTTTATAATTTTGACTCGTGGGATTATTCTATTTTTAGAAACAATGGCAATATTTTTTGAAATGAAGAATAGGTACAAAGGTTTTTTTTAAAAGCTCTTTAATGATTCTGACATGAACCCCTTACTTCTTCGACTCATCGTTGAGGGTCACAGAAAGACCACTTAGTTTGGTGACCAACCTCACAGCTACATACTGAAAAATAAAAATTATAAGATAAATGTTTTCCAAAACATACAGTAATAACTTTCATTTATTTCGTACTTTATATCTCATCAGAGTTTTTTTTTTTAATAAGATCACACCCACCTCTCTGAGTAAGGTTATTTATTTTGTTCTTTACCAATTATCAAATGATTTTTGGGGGGGGGGGGATAGAATCACATCCACCTCTCTGCCTGGGTAAGATTATTTATTTCGTTCTTTACCAATTATCAACATGATTTTTATTTGGGGGGGGGGGGGAGATAGAATCACACCCATCTCTCAGTGTAAGATTATTTATTTTGTTCTTAACCAATTATCAGATGATTTTTTTTGGGGGGGGGATAGAATCACACCCACCTCTCTGGGAAAGGTTGGATCCACCTCATTTTCTTGGTAACCAATCGCTTCGTAAAGTTTGGCCTTCTCTTTCTCATTAAATTGGTCTTGAAATTGTTCCTCTAAAAAAATATAAGGATATCATTTAAAGCAATTATTCATATAGCAAACACTTTTAATAAGAAAATTTATGTTCTACTGTTTATTAATAGTTATAAATCGATAGTTTTAAAAATAAATCATTACAAAAGTGTAATTAATGCATTTCCGTGGTATAATGAATATAAAATCTCAAATATATTGATCAACAGTCTATACTGAATGAGTTTTAATGATGATCTATTTATAGTAACATTTATTGATGGTCTTTTTACAGTAACCTTTATTGATGATCTATTTTCAATAACCTTTATTGATGATCTATTTATAGTAACATTTATTGATAATCCATTTATAGTAACACTACTATATTATTCTATTTATAGATATACTGACTTATGTCCTTTTCCTCCTTGTCTTCCTTCTTTTTCTTTTTTCCTCCAAAAAATCCCCCGAACCATCCCCCCGATTTCTCCTCCGCTTTCTTGGCCCCGAGCTTGGCTGCCTGTTGAGACATTGATCATTGATTGAGGCAATAACATTCATTAAGTCAATTCATTGAAATAATACATACAGTTACTGCAAAATCACAAATTTTTGTGGGAATTTGATTCTTTCTTGTTTTCATGGTATGAAGACACTCAGGATTTACATGTCGTATGTCCTCCATGAAATGTTAAAAAATTTCAAACTACAATACATGTTCACTACTTCAACCAAGAAATCAATCCTTCCTCAAATCACGACTATTTGATCTCATGAAAATGATTTTATTTTTAGAAATTTTTATGAGGGTAAAGCTTCTAACATAAACATCCTGCCCAGTGGTTCTGGAGAAGAAGATGAAATTGTAAAAAGTTAAGGATGACTACGACAACAACCACAACAGACAAAGGACTAATTTTGATCAGAAAAGCTCACTAGAGCCTTTGGCTTGAATAAACAATTAAGTGATGGATGTATCTGTCTAATTTTTTGTGACAGATTCTTAAGAATTATCTCACCTCCACTTCGGCCTGTCCCCTCATCAGGGTGATCGAAAACACGTCTAAAAACTTCTCATACTCCTGGTAAACACAAAATAATTTGTATTAAATCTTGTCCTCTGATGGAGAGACCTACACTTACTGAAAAGTTACAAATATACTTCTCATAAGTGTAAAATGTTAGTATGGTAAGTTAAACAGAGACAGTAATTAGACTTTGAGTTAATACAATTCTTCAGCATTATCAGAACAACAAATGAATCAATAATTTTCAGGATAAATTCTCTTTTATTCCACAAAATATAATGATTATATGCAAATAAAAAACATTAAAAATATTCAAAACTTATAAAATTTTTTTGAAAAATTTAATCTCTCTCTCTCCCTTCTTAGTGCTTTAATATGTACAGTCACGTACCTCAATATCTTTTTGTACATCCTTTGGTACACTTTTAGGATTGGATAACTTCTTTGTGTAGGCGTCTCGATACTTCTTCATCGTGACACGGTGTTTCATGATGTGGTCCCAGGAAAACATGCGGCGCCGTCTACGAACTTTCTCTTCCAGAACGCTGTCCCGGGCAAAGTGCCACCTATCATTAAACAATTCTTTTTATAGGCACACAATCAATTAAATTTATGGCAAAGTAGCTGTTATATGCATGCAAGAAACAACAGTTGCAAGCAACCCTAGCTTGAGATTATTCTATAGAAGCAAATCGGTAAAAACTTTTTAAAAATTTTAAACAAGGGGCCCAGGGTCCACATTGCTCACCTGAGCACTACGGCTAGGAAAAAGCAGAATCAGTTCAGTCTTGAAAGGTTGAAAAGTTTAAATATAAAAGTGGTTCGGGGGAGGGGGGGGATGAATTGTACAAATTTGAATCTACATTACCTGAGGATGCTTCCACTTAAATATGACCAATCATGGCTTTGGTTCTTGAGTAGAAGATTTTTCCTATGTATTCCTAGTATGTAAAATTTTGATCACCCATTGTGGCCCCACCCGACCTCAAAGGGTCATGTTTGAACAAACTTGAATCTACACTATCTAAGAATGCTTCCATATAAATATGACCAATCATGGCTTTGCTGTTCTAAAGAAATATTTTTTTTTAAAGATTTTTACTACATATTCCTATGTAAAACTTTGATCGCCCATTGTGGCCCCACCCGACCCCCGGGGATCATGATATGAACAAACTTGAATCTACACTACCTGAGGATGCTTCCATGTAAATATGACCAATCATGGCTTTGCTGTTCTTGCGAAGAAAATTTCAAAAGATTTTTCCTATACATTCCTATGTAAAACTTTGATCGCCCACTGTGGCCCAACCCGACCCCCGGGGGTCATGATTTGAATAAACTTGAATCTACACTACCTGAGGATGCTACCGTATAAATATGACCAATAATGGCTTTACTGTTCTTGAGAAGATGATTTTTAAAGATTTTTCCTATACATTCCTATGTAAAACTTTGATCGCCCATTGTGGCCCCACCCGACCCCCGGGGGTCATGATTTGAACAAACTTGAATGTACACTATCTGAGGATGCTTCCATGTAAATATGACTAATCATGGCTTTACTGTTCTTGAGAAGAAGATTTTTAAACATTTTTCCTATATATTCCTAAGTAAAAATTTGTTCGCCCATTGTGGCCCCATCCGACCCCTAGGGGTAATGATTTGAAAAAAATTTGAATCTACACTACCTGAGGATGCTTCCACATAAGTTTCATATTTTCAAGCACAGTGGTTCTTGAGAAGATGATTTTTTAATGATGCCATTAATTTTTCACGAATTCATAATTATCTCCCCTTGGAAGAAGTCGTGGCTCTTCATTTGAACAAACTTGAATTCCCTTTACCCAAGGATACTTTGTGGCAAGTTTGGTTGAAATTGGCCCAGTGGTTCTGGAGAAGAAGTCGTAAATGTGAAAAGTTTACAGACGGACAGACAGACGGACTACAGACAAAATGTGATCAGAAAAGCTCACTTGAGCCTTCAGCTCAGGTGAGCTAAAAAAGGAAATCCTTATCAATAATTTATTGGTCACAGACTGATCTTCTAGTTTTCTTTATTGAAGAAAAAATTGTCATGTAGAGCGTAAAGAGTTGGTGTACAGTATCCTCTGATATTTCCTGATGACGGTGTTCTTCAGAGTGTAGATTACTGAAGACCTCTATACATACCAGGCTTTAGTATTTTTATGGAGTGGGACGTTAGGGCGGTATTTCCCATATACACTCATCAGATACATACTGATGATCTTTATACGTACCAGGTTTTAGCATTTTTATGGAGTGGGACGTTAGGGCGGTATTTCCTATATACACCCGCCAGATACATACTGATGATTTTTATGTGTACCAGGTCTTAGCATTTTGATGGAGTGGGACGTTTGAGCAGTATTTCCTATATCATGTATATACGTACCAGGTTTTAGCATTTTTATGGAGTGGGACGTTGGGACGGTATTTCCTATATACACTCATTAGATACATCCTCTCAGCCGACTCCAGCATCTCCAGGACATCATTATACTGAAAAACACAATACACAAAGTCTTGTAACATAACGATGAGAAGGAGTTATATTCAAACTTTTTCTCAAAACAAGCATCAAGTAAGGACAGTCTAAAGTCAATATTTAGAATTCAATTATCTTGATTTTCATGTATAATAACAAAATTTGCAAGTTTGTAATACTCAGATACAAACATAAAGAAAAAGTTATTCTAATTTCAAAATTTTGAATTCAGTCTATTCTTACTTTATAATCTTGAGATGATAAAACATTAATAAATGTGAAATACTCCCATTCCCCATGGATCCACCACCTAAACTTATGAAATCTTGTAAATTATTAAAACAAACATACCTGTCTTTTGGACAGTCCAACTCCGATCTCATCAAACACTACAGTAAGGAAGGCCTTAGGGGAGGAAAAGTTGTTCAACTCTGGCTTCATGTTCAGTTTGAGGTGAGCCACAGAAGAGATTGGCTTGATTACTGAAATAATAATTAAAGTACTGAGAGGACTGGAATGATTGCTGAATTATAGAGTACTGAAAGGGCTGAAATGATTATGTAATCTGCCTGGCATTGGATCCATTTACAAGACTGTAGAGATAAGTATTGCCTATAGCAATGAATCAAAAAAAGAAACTTTCAGCATGTAGCAGTTTGTATTCCTAATATAAAGTTGAAGGCTTTGCAATGGTTAATTTTATGGATTTGCAGAATGTTCTTTATTTACAAAAGTGTATGGTAGCCTATGTACAATGTATTAAATGATTCTCACAGAACTGATGTGTTGTCGCCTTCTCCTTTCCAGGAATCTCCCTCCCAAGCTTCTCCTGAAATCAGAACAAAACAAATTCTTTTCATATCACTTACCACAAATAACCGTAAACCAGATATCATTTGCATCAACTTAGTACAATTATCTCAGATATTACTTGCACCTGAATAAGAGTTGGTTTCCCATTACTGACATTAACTCACCAGTAGCCGTTCATTACTGAGGGATGAGTACAGTTCTGTGTTACTATTCCAATACACCGCCAGGGAATCTAACTTAACCAGCTGTAAAAAACAGAACAATGATGTAAATAATGGAAAATTCAGATTAAACAAGAGGCCCCACAAGCCTTGAAAATCACCTGAGTAACACATATTTTTCAAGAAATTAAAGGACCAACTTTGTTCACCTTGCACTGAAACCATGAGAAATGTACAGTTTGGTATAGACTCTCAAAAATCAATATTCTGAGTCAGGTGAGCTGAGTCACATAATGCCTTGACTCAAATGAGCTGAGTCACATTATATCTTGACTCTGGTGAGCTGAGTAATATGATGCCTTCACTAATGTAAGCTGTGTCACAGTGCCTTGGCTTAAGCGAGCTGAGTCCCACAGTACCTTGAATCAGTTGATCGAGGAACACAGTAACACAATGCTTTGGCTCAGGTGAACTGAGTAACACATGAGCTTACGTGAGCTAAAAATTTTTAAATTACCTTGAAGATTTGGTTGACTGCTTCTTTCACAACACAAGGTTTCCAATTCTCATCTGTTGTCTAGAAGTAAAACAAAACAATGAGTGACCATCAGATACCCAGCTTCTGATACTAGACCACTAATTTATTATTTTGTATTGAATCTGATTAGGTTTTGATTTTGTTTGCTTGCCTTTTTTAAACTTGACTGACCCATCTTGCTTCATTGTTCAATTATTATATCATGTTTTTTTAAGTGAACAGACAGTCTCTATAATCAGGTTAAAATAAAGTCAAAATGAAGTTCTCATGAATGATAATTGATTTGCAATTCTTCATTACCCCCTCCCAACACACATCTTACTACCACACCCCTTCAAACTCCTTATGATACTTGGAATAGTAAGACTGCCATGATAATCCCAATAGAGGATGATCCGGATATGTGTATGAGTCATCATGTCACACATAATCACGATTTCCATTAGTTCTTACTACTCAACCCCTCACACTCACATAAATACCTTCCTTCTGCAACATTTCATTTCAATTCAAAATTCCTTATCATACCTGGAACAGTAAATCAGCCATGCTAATCCCAATAGAGAAAGGATGATCCGGATTTGTGTACGAGTCCTCGTAACGTATGTGTATGTTACTGATCTGGATCTGTAAATTTTTTATGATCTGGGCGGCCATTTTCTCGGCAAAGGAATCCTTCTTAGGTTCCTTCTCTTTACCTGATTGTGATCAAAAGGTGAAAATTTATGACAACTGAAGTTATATGCAAGTAAATAACATTGGTTTCTGTGATAGCAACTTTCACTTTCATTTTAAATCAGATCCATCAACACAAAACGGGGAATCAAAATCGACACTGACCTTGCTCGAGTGCTGCCTTCTTCGCCTCCTCAATCTGCTGTAGTTTCTTCTGCTTGGTCTCCTGTTTAGCTTTCTCTTCCTTCTCTGCATCATACTTGATTGCTACAGAAAAAAATAAATTACTAACAGTATTAAAGGCATTTATTTCTTTAATTAGTTTTTAACAGACACCTTAGAACTGGCACAGACCATGGAATCTGACTGTCTAATGAAAACTTTATGTCAACACCTTTAAATATAGATCCCAGTCTGTCTGGATCAGAGACCCTCAACTGATGAGATAATTTAAAGTTTTAAAGCACAGGAAGTATTACTTTAAAACTACATTGCATTTATTTGATCTATCTAAAGAAAAACAAGAGGCCCAAGGGTTCTGATAATTGTCCAACCCATCACTTCAATTTGACGCATCTAAGTATCCTGTATATTAAGATAACACCTTGAAATTCCAAACGTAGGTCATCATGACCTACATTTTGGCTAAAACACTCTGAAAACCCAAGCTGCATCAACTGACAAAGTTTTATGAGTCTAAAGCCCCTTACTATCTTAAATATTCAAATATAGCCATGAGATTCTAAAAGTTGGTTACAGTGACCTACTTTTTGGTAAAGATACTCCAAGACCCAAAAATGCCTCAACTGACAAAGTTTGATGATTTTAAATCCCTTATTATTTAAATATTTAGATATTGCCTTGAAATTCTCAAAGTAGATTCAAAATACATCAACTGACTAAGTTTGATAATTCAAAGCCAATTAGTATCTCAAATAATTAAACATAGCTGTAAAACTTCAAAACGTCATGGTTACCTACTTTTCAGTTGACACACTCCGAGAACCCAAGATGCATCAACTGACAAAGTTTGAGGATTCTAAGCAAATTAGTATCTTAAATATTAAAATATCACTGTAAAATTCCAAAAGTAGGTCACGGTGACCAACCCTTCAGTTGACTAACTCTGAGGACACAAGATGCATCAACTGACAAAGTTTGATGATTCTAAACCAATCAGAACCTTAAATATTTAAATATAACCATAAAGTTTCAAAAGTAGGTCAATGTGACCTACTTTTCAGTTGCTGTTCTCCAAGGGCCAGTGAGTACCAGAAATATTTAAATGTAGCCATAAAATTTCAAAATTAGGTCACAGTCACACCTACTTTTCAGTTGACATTCTTCGAGCACTTAAGATGCATCGACTGACAAAGTTTGATGATCATAGGCCTTAAAGTGTTCAAAACAAATTTAAAAAGAATACCTTCAAAATTCAAAAAGTAGGTAACTGTGACCTACATTTTGATAAATATGTTTTAAGGCCCCAAGATGCATCAGCCTACAAGGCTTGATGATTTTTAACCTCTCAGTATCTGAAATAATGACCTTAAAAGTTTTGAAAAGGATTAGTCATAAAATTCAATATGTATGTCATGGTGACCTACTTTTCACTTGACATAATTTAAGGACACAAGATGCATCAATGACAAAGTTTGATGATTCTAAGCCAATTATAACCTTAAAAATTTAAATATAACCATAAACTTTCAAAAGTAGGTCAATGATCGTAGGCCTTAAAGTGTCCAAAATATGCCTCTAAATCAATTTGAAAATAAATGCATGCAAAATTCAAAAAGTAGGTCACCTTGACCTACTTTTGAGTCGACATGATAGGTCCTAAGATGCATCAACTGACAAGATTTGATGATCCTAGTCCTTATAGTAAGCAAAATATCAACATTTTAATAAAATGTAATTTTTGGTCAACTTTGAAGTGACCTTGAGACCACACCCTTGGCCCCAGGGTGATGCCTTGAATAATTTTTCATCTTCAACATATCCTCGTCCTTGTGTGTAAGTTTGGTGATGATCAGCCCAGTGGTTCTTGAGAAGAAGATTTTTTAGCAACCAGTACTTTTGGTCTTATTTTCCTAATTATCTCCCCTTGTTTAAGGGTCACATCCCTAGTTTTAGTATAAACAGCAGCCCTTGGACCAAGGATACTCTGTGACAAATTTGACAAAAATTGGCAAAGGGTTCTTGATATATGGCCCACATTCTAAAAAGTTTACGCACAAATGGCCATAGCATTAGCTTTTTGAGCCTTTGGTTCACATGAGCTAAAAATTGACTCTGTGTGCTTGAGAAAATGTCAATGTATTGAAAGAAAAACAAATTACTGTCTCCATAAAGAGGAAAAAATATAATACATGTATCTATCATTACGGAGAACAAAGGCAAACAATCGACAGCGCATCATGGTTACATTAAAATGCTTATAAGACCCCCCACCCCCCCCCCAATAACTGTAATCGCTTTCTTCGGGCATTGGATATAACAAATTATTAATGTATTTTTTGGAAACAAAATTACTACATCTCTGTATACCTGTATACAGTAGAATTACCTACCAACATTGGGGACAGCGAGGGCATACAGTCCATCAATTGTTGCGACCACTGCTTCTGTGTACAGGTTTTTCCATGGAATTTTCAAAGTTAGCTTCCCTAAAATACAAAGAAAATTTTTAAAGTTCAATTCAATTTCCTTGTACAGTACCAAGGACAGCTGTTGAGAATACAACAATAATCAATGATAATCTTAATAAGGACATATATATATATGCAACATACATGTAGTTTTGAACTTTTTCTTATTTCCTGAAATTGAAGAGTTCCAAAAGATATATGCAAACTCTTATAATGCTGCACATGTCTTCAAAAACAATTTCTTAGAAAATTTAGGCCCAAACTATAATTATGTTTGATCATTTTTGTATGTTTTTTATTGAAAATATAGATTTTTCATATTTATTTCATAATCTTTTCAAAACCCCTTGAAATGTATGCTAAGATTTTTTTGTCTTAGAACATTTAATGATAATAAGTTCTATGAAATTTTGAATTCATAATATCTTGAACAAGAGGCCACTGGGCCACAACGCTCACCTGAATAACTTTGGCCCTGCTGTTCTTCACCTGAGTCCCCCTTTGTAATTCCTATTGTGGTTCCGCCCTACCCCCCGGAGTCATGATTTAAACAATTTAAAATCTACACTACCCAAGGATGCTTCCACCTACGTTTCAGCTTTTCTGGCCCAGTGGTTCTTGAGAAGAAGATTTTTTCTATATATTTCAATGTAAAACTTGGATTCCCTATTGTGGCCCTGCCCTTCCCCTGGGGGTCATGATTTGAACAATTTCAAATCTACACTACCCCAGGATGCTTCCACATAAGTTTTAGCTTTTTTGGCACAGTGGTTCAGGAGAAGAAGATTTTTAAAGACATTTACTACCAGTAAATACCACCTACTTGTAAGGTACATTGTGTATGTACCTTATTAACCAAAGATTTTTTGTACCAGAATAGAAAAAAAAAATTATATATACCTACCACCACAATATTACCCAGAAAAAATAAGAAGTTCAGGTGAGTTACACAGTAAAACATGCTTATAAAGAAGTACCAGGGATGGGTGATTTAATCGCTTTGTTATAAATGTTATTTGTTACATCCGTTATGTTAAAAATAAATTTTTAAGTCACAAAACACTTCGCTGTAAGCATCAATTCATTGTAAGCATTTTTGCTATCAGTTTGCTTTACTGTACATAGATACAAGTTCATTTACCTATATGCCCTGCTTTGATCTTGACTGGTAGATCCAAGTCATCCTAAAAAAAATACAAAATGCTCAATTCATTGCTGATTAATTAATAAACGAATCATTAATTTAGTGTCTCTAATGTGTTTGAGGCTTATGTGTTTGAGGCAGCTAGGATGCCAATATTTGTTACTGGTTGTTTTATTTGTAATATTTGGCATGTGACACTTAAATAAATAATTATTTCTTACTTACTTATTAATTATCAATTCTAAAATGATTTTCTTTAAAATGACAGGGCAAGCTATCAGAATACATGGAATAATGATATTTACATGTCAGGTACATTCCTTTCCATTTAAAATAAATTGCCTCTCTATTGTAACCTCACCCTTAACAGGGAATTTCCCCACCTAAAAAGACCTTATCCCTGATTATTCTAGTATTCCCCCAAAACTCTCCATTTATTTAGGAGAAGAACCCAAGACCCCCTTCTACTTTTTTAATGCCCCCTTCTAATTCAATTCCATATCTCTCTATCAACATGATTAAGTACCCCTAATAAAATTAAGGGAGAAGTTATTTGGTTAAAATTACACAAGCTTAATTAAATGTTTTTCAGTATATTTGGGGTTCTGACATGTTTGATAAGGTTATAGAAGAGGGCCCATAGTCTCTGACAATGGGAAAATACAGAATCACTTAGGTTTGTGGTTTGAGGAAAAAAATTGGTTTGTGGGGATTTGACTTCATGTTTGAAGAAGTCCTGAGCTGTGCTGTATTTAAATATTACAATTCATGGAGGACGTGAATTTGTTTGTCAAAGTCTTCATATAACAATTATTGTCAACGAAAATTAAGTACCGTACCTTTAAAATTAGTCATTTCAGAGTATTTTAGAGGGGCAAGGTCTCTGACAGGGGCATTTAATAGGGAGAACAAGGTATCCCATTCTTGGACTGTGTACTTACCAGGGCACTCTCTTTTAGGTCTAAATTCTGTAGAACCACGTCTCCTGTAACGTAAACGTAATGAATATTAACACGATCAGGCATTTTAAAAAGAATTATTCCATAGTTTATCATGTTTATATTTTTTTTTTTATTTGAAAATTCCATCTTCACCAGCCAAGGGTTTTTGATCTGCACCACTTCTCTTTTGAGCAGATCAGAAACCCTTGGCTAGCTAGTAAGATGACTGAGGACATTTACGAATTAAAAAAACACTTTTAAAATGTAGATGACAGCAGAATTGAACTTGTGATACAAGTTCTAAATTCTTATAATTGTACTTTTTTTTTAACTCAGAAACCAGAATATTCAAATATTTAAAAAAGATCGCCTGAAAATCTCTCTAAATATAAAATATGACTGAGAAATTTATTAAGTAGTAATAAACTTTAACAATAAAGTTCTTTACTTTAGTCTAGAACTATTAGATAAGATAAGATAAGATAATTTTATTTTCCAATTTTGGGCCCAGAAGGCATACAAGTTTAATGAAAAGATTAGAAAGTTCTGAATGAACATGATGAAAGGTTACATACATATTATTATAAAGGATGATGTGACATACAGCCCCCGGTAAATTGATGTGGTAGTTGTACTTAGTTTTATTTTATTTTAATTAATGCTATATATTTTATTTCAGGAATTAATCATTCATTCATTCATCCATACATCTATACAAGCGCTGCGCCTGCATTACTAATATATTATTTATTTATATGTTTAAATCATAAACATCCCTATTTAAATAATGGTTTAACCCAAAGACTATGGGTTAAGGTAGATATAAGGATTAGTCCATTTATAAATAAGGGTATTGTCTGTTTTCCTACATTCTATTGGTCAGTTGGTATTGTTTGGTCAAAGTTGTCCATTCAGGCGGGAAACCTTTGTTTTATTATTCCATTCAAAGATACTGTCTGAGAAGGGTGTAGCTAGAGATTTGTGATTGCTTAAAATTTAATATTTGATATTTTGGAGTATATTAAACACCCATAAACTGTAAGTAAACCTTTTATAAACACATCTAATGATCATAAACTAAAATTAAAGATAATGAATGAAAATAAAGTATTTTAATATAAACTTGCCAAATGAGTATGAATGTGTCAGAGTGAAAGTTCTAAAGTTATTAAAGTTAAGATTGATATTGTAAAGTAAGAGCAAGTTATGTTTTAATCTAATTCATGTAGATCTTTGGATTAAGATCTGGGTTTGAATTATTATGATTTTATAATTTATTATCCATTAGGTCATCATGTAATAATTCTTTAAAGTCATCCTGATCAAGAGATAAATCACTCAGTTCCATACACTGGTATGTTAAACTCATATTTTTAAAGTATTGTAAATATTTCAGTATAGAGAAATATAATTTAGATCATTAATTCAGTAAGAGTTTCAAAGAGTTATCGCCCTTTGAATGCGTTTATATAAAGTGTAAAGTAATGGCTTAAGGTATGTCACTCGTCAGCCTTTTAGAAAATTTCAGTCAGAACCTCTTACTTAAAAACTATTTATTACAATTCAATCTTTATAACATATTTAAATTAAACAATGTAAAATGTTCAACATTCAATTAAAAAACTGCTCAAAAATTCACAAAGAAGCAAGATTTATAAGGGACTATTTCTTGTGGCGGAAGGATATTTAGCAGAAAATTCTGCAAATCTACACATTTATTAAATTTAATATCTTGGAACTTTAGCCTCACATACTTTTACTCAGAGAATATTTTCCGTTATGATATGCCTGGAATATTAAATATAGGTCTCAATTTATATTTCTATAACAAAATTTACACCTTCGCTCAACAAACATTGCCAAGAAATGAAGATATATTGAGGAAGTCGAGATAAAATTTACACAGTTTTTTGCCTGAAAATCGCATATTTTGACCAATATTTCAAAATTTACATCACTGACCCCAACTTTTTCTTTCATTATTTTAAACTACTCGATACTTTTGACCGATCAGCACTTAAGTCGTAAAAAGTTTGATACAAGAAAATATTCTATTGCCTATTTAGATTTTCAATACCCCAAATATGATACTTTTTTAGTGCAAAAAGGTCACACAATAATTTACGCGCATTAATTTGCATGATTTGTTCAATGATAAATATTATTCATACTATTTTACGTAAAATAAGATTATGTTTATTGCCATGGTTACATCTTATAAAATATGATAACGGTTAAAGTGATTAACCAAAGAGTTACAATTTAAGTGCAAAAAGGTCAACTTAATTGTACCGTAGCTCAGTTAGATGCACACTGACCCCCCACTTTCTCTGCGATTTTGAGTCATACTATTTGAGTACTTATCCAAAATATACTTCTCAAAAAATCCTTGATATAACAAATTTCACGAGTGACATACCTTAAATGAATGTTTTATGTGTTTAAATTGTGATCGTTTTGTGTTGTAAAGTGAATGTGCTTGTTTATATGTTGTCTATGTATTTATATGTTGTTATTGTTATTTTAGGGTTAATTTAAAACATTTAATTCATCTTGAAATCAACTATATATCTCCACGGAATAAATACTAAGAATCCAACCCTATATACCATCTTGCAGTCATTTTTTAATTTCTACAAGAACCGGTTACATTGACAAAGAATTAAATATCTAAAATTTACTCTAATTTTTGCATGCACTTAATCACTGATATGTATACCCTCATAAAATACTACTTTTACCGAAAATAGAAACATAATTTGGAAGATATATGTCTTTATTTTGAGTAGGGGTACCATGTTTACATCCAATTTCCATTGAATTTTGGCCCCGCCCCACTCTTTGAAGCCCTTAAAATATACAAGCGCAAGTAGGTACATTTTTCTCCTTTGGCTGGTCACTGTCTTTTATTGAAATCTACCTATATGTGAAAGGAGAAAAATGTACCTAACTGCGCTCACATGTTGTTTTTAAAAAATTGTAAAATCTAGCTGGCCTTTCCCATTATGAACAGATCGACGAAACTATTTTTTCTGACGTAAGAATAAATTCATATGCTAATCGAGGCACTGGCGATAGTTTCTAACTGACCAATCAGATAAATGAGTTGCATAACTAGTGAGTAACACAAAAATACTAAGGACATTTTACGCTTGGAAAAAAGATTTTTTTTTTACCTGCTTTCTGATAATCATTTTTTATGCATTTGAGTCACAGATTAGACACAGATCTACAATTTCCCAGCTCACATTTACAAACAATTGATTTTTAAATATGCATTGTTAAAAGTTTTGTAAAGCATTCGGTGGGCAATTCGCTAAGTCTACACGTATTCCCGAGAATAGAAGTTTCATATGCATTTCTTGACCTTAAACGGTAAACACTGTGGTTCCATGCATATTATTATGTATAAATAGCATTGGCTGACCATTAAAAGTATGAAATGTAGTAGAGATAATGTGTAAATTGACTTAAACCACGTGCCTGTGATAAAATGCAAACATGTAGTAAACCAGCATGTTTTGTCGTTCTTTCATCAGATTGGACAATTGTTCTCTGTAAGCGACTATGTGAGAAATAATAACAATAGCCATATAAAGTAGATTCCTCAAACACGCATATCCCTCTATTGTACTAAGACCCGCCTATTCTCTTTTCATAAAAGAACATATTGTCACAAACCAGGCCGAATTTTGCTGTCATAGGGTAAAAAAATCATAGATAATGCAGTAATCCTTATAATTAAAATTTGTCGGAAATATTGAAACTATTCAAAAGATGTCCTATTTATTCACTCATGTATGAAAACTATCAAAATCGTTGTAGATTAAATATAATATGTCATAGAAAAAGGGGCCCTAGATAGCAGTCATGTCACATCATCCTTTCCTGGTAGCTCAAATAAAAGCTAAGCTAGAAAAGACAGAAAAAAGTTGTATGAATATCTTAAATCACCAATACAACTCCTGTAATGTGTTACTCATGTAAATGTAGAAATGTAATAAAAACACCTAAACATAAAATTTCTACTTATTAGTACAAAAAAAAAATTGTCAACTTGTGTTTGTTGACGTGTGACAAGATGTATATCAAGGTCCTATAAGGATCTACCAGCAATGTTAATTGTCTTGTAACCGTTATTACTGCACTTCAATAATACTTCTCTGTGGAAGGCGACAATATATAAGGAATGTAGACAAGTCCAGTTGACATGTAATGAACACCCAAACAGACATTAATACATGTACTGTGTATGTGAAGACAACTAAGGCAATACAGGAAGAAAGATGTACACAAGTGCAAAAGTAATTCAAAGTATTGACTGTTAGACCATGTCTGAGTCATACTGGATCATGATGTCACACTAAATGTTAAATGATGTATAGACCAGGGTCTGAGATCACGTTTATATAGAGAGCAAAAAAAAAAAAAATGGTTATAGTATCAGATGTGAGAGTGTTTTATAATTTCACTTTCAGCATGTTATAAAATACATAACATCCTGTGACTTGCAAACTTGTAAATAAGCTGTTTATTACAGGTACTCTAAATCTATAGATACACGATCTTATCCACGCCAAAAAAGTCCTTGATCCGCGCCTATTGTACGCAGTATATATATCAACAACACAGGAAGAGAAGAGAGATAAAATCTAGCATTATTATATCCGGAATCAAGTATTGGCATTGACAACCATCTAAACGCTAAACAGATCGATCGGGCATAACGCTGGATACACAGTATTATGATTCAACCATGCATGACGGATGCTGCAAACAGCAGAAGCATTACCTCCCCATATTCCTATCTTCAGCTGCGACCTGTCCAAGTTCTCCACGAAATCTCCCAGATACTTGTTGATTAAATCAGCCACTAACGACTCGAAAACCATGTTTTATAATCTTCGCTGCATAAACATTCAGACGCTCTCGTGTGGCCTTCTAGGCTTCTAGCCTTTTTTTAGGAACATTCTCGTGACTGCTCTAGGGAAGACTATTTAACTGGTTCTCTTACCGGCACATGAGGAAACCAGTTTTTGACAGTACGTACGAACTAAACGATTGTTCAAAATATATTTTTCCGATTAGTTCACAGGATTAATTCATACAAACGTATTAGGAAATTGAATGGAAAAGAAAAAATATCTATGTATTTCTCATGAGGGCGTCGTACGAAGGATTTTATTTATTTTTATCTGCAAAACTGAAATATTGCACACTTCCCCCTTTTTTCCATTAAAAACAAGATAAATTATATATTAACATTAAAATCGTTTTGTACAGTACCTGGCCATAAGTGAGTCATAATTTTATTTTTCCACTATATATTTCATTAAAAAATGCATTTTTCTAGAATATTATATAATATTTTATGTTAAAATATTAGTGCAGTGCATGTTATTTGTTGCTCATTTTTTATGAATAAAACATCATAACGTAGAATTCTTTGCAGCTAGTTTCTTCACATAATTTCAAAATAATTTTTCTGTAGGCATTGCGGTGATATCACACGTCAAATGCGAAATAAAAATTTTACGACTCAAGTTTGCTAAGAAATCATAGTAATTTGAGATTAGAAATTTTTGTCTTGACATTTTAATAAATTATATGCATTTCCAAGGATTATTGTATCATTTTGTTTAGCATTAAAAAACAAGAAAAATTTGAACAATTCTGCATGAATCAGTGAAAAAAATCATATAACGTTATATATTGTACTTTTTATTTTTTGGAATCATTTGAATAATTTGGATAATTGTTTGACATTTGTTAAATAGTTTGTACAAAAGTTGTTTAATTGTAAAACGACAAATGTCAATTTAGAAGATATAGTTCGTTTCAGGGATACATACATGTACTAAGTATATAGGTCCCTGTTCATATGATTTAGAAAATTTAGTGTGTACCAGGCGCGGATCCAGGATTTTTTTCCAGGAGGCCCACATCAACTCTACAGATGTCATAATTTTTTGACAGGCAAAAAATTAAAAAAAAAAAAAAAAAAAAAAAAAAAATCAACTTCCTCAAACTTGAAACACCTGAAAGGAAGGGGGGGAGGGGGGGGGGGGGGGGGAGAGACACTTTCCTAAGAGTATTTTCTTCAAATATATGGTTCGATCTTCCTAAATTACCATTTTAAGAGGGGAACGTGTTTCCCGAGGGGAGTCCAAATTTTTTCCATAGAACCTTACTACTCTGATAATTCCCAGGGGGCTCCGGACCCCCATCCACCATCTGGAACACATATGGACCGCATGTGTACAATTTTCATTCTAAATCGTTAGTGCGATTTTCAAAAAAATAGTTTGTACAATTCAAAATAGTGTTTAAACAATTAACAAATTATTTACAATTTAGAAAATCGTTTGTACAATCTAGAAAATCGTTTACTTTGAATTCGTTTGTACGATTTTCTCAACCGTTTGTAAGATTTAAGAATTCGTTTGTACAGTTTCCGAAAAAATGGCTGTAACAATCTTGGTGTGAGTCCATAGGGAGTGAAGAATGATAGGGAGTGAAGAATGAAGGACACTCCAGTTTCAAATTTATTCATGAGGCCGAAGCGAAGGTCCGATGATGGGTCATATGCTGTTCTTGTGACGGCTGTTAATTATGTCCAAGAAAATCAATGAAGAATAAACACTCATTTACATGATCATGCAAGAAATAAAAAATAAGAAATAAAAAGTGTATATATATAGAGACCTTGTTTGCAGTTATGATCGCAGATATCAGTTTTTCATTGTACCAAGACTCCAAAGGACCAGCTAGAATATGGAGGGCGCTCCATTCTCTTCTCCGTAATCAGTTCCGAAGGAAGCGATTTCAGCTTGGGGATGGGGTTGGGCACAACCAAAAATTTTCAGTTGGGGGTGGTGGTTTACCCAGCAAAAATTCCTCGACAAACCAAAATATGTCATCAGATGTGACTATCGAAGCACATTCAAAAAGAAAGCTTATTTTTCCATAGTATACTGAATATCGGCAAAATTATTAGAGGCACCCCCCCCCCCCCGATTCTTACGGCCATGAGGTCAGCCAATTGATGCTAATATGATGATGCTGAGAAGCGCTTCAAGATCTTGATCCAGAGGAAGATCCAGGATATCCTCCTGCTGAAGAAACGGAAGAAAATCCTTTTATTCCGGGAGCAGCAGCAGAGAAAAGTCATTCTGTTGAAGAGACAAACAGATCATTCTTTTTCGAAATAGTGGAAGATCATAATTATACTCCTCCACGGTAAATTTCAACAAGAAACAGAGTCAGGCTTAAATGGGCAGAAGCCTGCGTATAATGCCAAATCAGGTAAATATACACACAGAATGGTTTCGGAGACTTCTCTTTTTAGGTTACCCGAGTCACTCAGGTGACCTATTGCTATCCGTTTTTGTCTGTCGTCGTTCGTCGTCCGTAAACTTTTGAAAATTTTCAGCTTCTTTTCTGGAACCACTGAATCAATTCAACCAATTTTGGCATATAGCATCTATGGGTGAAGGGGAACAAAAATTGTGAAATTCATGGCCCCAGCCCCCAGGGGACTGAGGGGTGGGGCTAAAACCATCAAAATTAATGCAATCTTTAAAAATCTTCTTCTTTACTCATAAACATCAAGAGGTCAAACTATTGGCATGAATGTAATAAGCATTTAGCCCTCTACCAAAATTTTGAAACTCATGGCCCCAGGGTCAGGGGTTTTAGTGCTACGGTGCGACTATATAGAATATGTAGTGGAATTAAGTGCATTATTCCTTTGAAAATCTTCTTCTCTGCTCCTAGGTATTAAATAAACTAAGTAAGTACATAGTTATGTTGAGCATGACTGCCTCACCAAAATTGTGAATTTCTTGGCCCCTGATCGAGTCAGGGGTTCTAGTGTTAGGACGGGGCTCTATTGATTACATAGTGAAAATATATTAATTCTTTGAAAATCTTCTTCACTGCTCCTGGGTAGGAAACAAGCTAACTAAGTACATAGTTATGGTGAGCATGGCTGCCTTTTCAGAAATTGTGAATTTAATGTTAGGGCTGGGCTATATTGATTATATAGTGAAAAATGCATTATTTCTTTGATAATCTTCTTCTCTGCTCCTGGGTATTAAATAAACTAAGTACATAGTTATGATGAGCAAGAGTGCGTCTTCCAAAATTGTGAATTTCATTCCCCCATGGTCAGGGTTTCTGGTGTTAGGACAGGGCTCTGTTGATTTTATAGTGAAAATGCATAAAATCTTTGAAAATCTTCTTCTCTGCTCTTGGGTATTATTAAAACAAAGGAAGTGCATGATTATGATTAGCAAGAATGCCTCTTCCAAAATTGTAAAATTTATGACCCCAGGGTCATGGTTTCTGGTGAAAGGGGGGGGGGGGGTTCTATTGATTATATAACGAAAATGCATAATTACTTTCAAAATATCTTTCTACTCCTGGTTATAAAGCAAAAAAAAAAAAAAAAAAAAAAAAAAAAAAAAAAAAAAACCTGTATAGTTATGATGAGCAAGCGTGATTTTACAAAATTTTAAAAACTTGTGGTGAAATATATGGAGATAACGAACAGCATAAGTAAGGGAAGTTGACGATTGAAAAGTTAAAGTCTCAGGAGTTATGTGTTTTTTTTCCCGGGGGGGGGGGGTCTATTGATAATATAGTGAAAATGTGTGAATTCTTTGAAAATCTTCAACTAATTGCATAGTTATGATGATAAGGATACCTTTTCCAAATTTGTAAATTTCATGACCCTGGGTCATGGGTTCTGGTGTTAGGGTAGGGCTATGATAAATCTGTAGTGAAATTGCATTGTTTCTTTGAAAATCTTCTCTGCTCTAGAGCATATTTGAGGCAAAAAGAGTAAAAGTTTTGATAAGCAAAAGCATTCTTACCAGAATTTTGAACATCTGGACAATTTAGTCAAGTGTTTTGGTCCTGGCCAGAGTTTAATTTGTATTTTACTGAGCAAAGTTATTCCCCTTTGATAATTAATCAGTAAAGGAGAAAGGCCTCAAACTGTCCATTCTGTGAGAGAAAGAACTAATCGAGGGCCGTAGTTCTTTCTCTCACAGAATGGACAGTTTGAGGCCTTTCTCTTACTTAAAACATGATTTCCTTTGTTCTGAAAATTAAATAAAAAATGTACAAAATGACAGGTAGCACACATACAAGGACAAGTTCATTGATTACGGAATGGACAGTCACAGGTAAGCTAGGGATGCAGAGCAATTTGTTGAATAGCTATTGTGTTTCCAGATGCAAATAACAAAAGGTCTTTGTCTTAAGAATTGACAGTTACAGGTGGATTTTGTGGGATACTAGAATTTATACAAGTATGTGATGCTTATGAATCAGTTTACAGTTTGCGTTGTAAAGGCATACATGTTTTTCTGTGCTGGAGAGAGTTTATGACAGAATCAAAATCTTATAAACCAAAATATGCACAAAATTAGTGATATTTGGATCTGGAAACAGAAAAGTAAAAGAAATATTAGCCAAATTTTGACCCAAAAATGAACTTCGACGACATATACAGATGACCAAATTCAAATCAAACCTGGAAATGTTTTAATTGAATTCTATTTTGAGGATATATTAACTGCAGCAGTGTATTGGTGAGATGCAAATTATGTTCTGGGTGTTGGATTAGCCATGAGCTAATCTTCTACCTGAAATGTTTTTCAAATGAAATCTGGAAATGTTTCATTTTTATTTATTTTCTACCGAAATATTAACTGCGGCAGTGTAGTGTTCAGTGTAGTGCCAACTGTTTTCTGGGTGGAGGATTTAATATTAGACGTATTTCTATCTGAAAATGAATTCTCCTCGAGGGAATGATTTTTCCGAAATTTAAATCAAATGTGAATTTGTGTCATTTGAATTCAAGTTTTGTGAAAATCAAGTTTTTAGTATAGAAATAATGTGCATCATTCATGGATTTAAAAGAGTAAAATCGAGTGGATGCTGTGCAGACATTGTGTTCTGGATTAACTTTAATCTCCGCGTTCTTTTTGTTATGTAAATTAAAAAGTATTTAATGTATTTGTTTTTGTTTTCCTCTTGAACACATTCCAAAGTTTACCTGTAACTCTCCATTCTGTTTGTTTTAACTGTCCATTCTTTTTGAAAAAATTGTCCATTCTTAAAAGAATGGACAGTTTTTCAAAAAGAATGGACACTTACAGGTGACTTAATGGATTGATTGAGGAGTTAGCTCAACATTAAGCTATAGAATGGACAACACAAACAAAAGGTTTACGTCACAATCATGTTTTAACTGTAAATAAAGTGTTTGAAAGGTTAATAGAATAAGAGAATTATGCATGCTAGAGCATTTATTGTATAGAACAAAAAGTACTTTCATAGTTTTAATGATTTAGGTAGACTTTGAAATAATAGATGAACAAAAATGAGACAAAAATAACTCAGCTTTTTAAATGTTCTTCAAAGGCCAAGAGAGGCCAATGTGAGAGGTAATAATATAGGTTAAAAAATAGATATTTTGTTAATAGTTTGCATGGTAATAGTGTTAAATGGTTGATAGATAGATAGATACTAGACGAATTATTTTGTTGATCCTAATCATACTATTTTTCTTGCTTTTGGGCAACAAAGCTTAATTTGTCAGTTTATGGATCCTCTAAATTGTTGTACTCAGGTGACCGTTAAGACCCTAGGGCCTCTTTTTTTTGTTTTGTTTTTTTAAAGATCGATCCCTACGTTAGTGGCGAGCGGAGGTTTTGACATGATGGGTAAAGATTCTGCTAAAGCACTTGTAACCATAATCTTAGGAAAGTGATGTTTTCACCTTGCCACAAATTATCTTTGGGTAAAGTGATTCGAGTTTGTTCAAATGGAGGGCCACGCCTCCTTTCAAGGGGGGGGGGGGGGGTAATAAAGAATTAGTGAAAATTAGGTGGCATCTTTTTCTCAAGAACCACTGGGCCAAAAAAGTTAAATCTTATGTGAAACCTTCATTTCATAGTGTGAATTCAAGTTTGTTTAAATCGTAACGCCCGTGGGTATGGTGGAGCCAACATGATGGATCAAAGTTTTACGTAGGAATAAATAGGGAAAACTCTTTAAAAATCTTCTTATGAACTGCAAGGCCGTAATAAGTCATATTGATTTGGAAGCATCTGAGGGAGACGATGACGATGATGATAATCAGACGTTAATAGGTAAATATCCTCCAGTTTCAGTACGGTACATCAGTAAGGGAGACGATGATGATGATCAGACGTCACTAGACAAATATCCTTCATTTCAGTACAGTACATCAGTGAGGGACACGATAATAATGATCAGACGTCACTAGGTAAATATCCTCCATTTCAGTACGGAACATCAGTGAGGGAGACGATGATGATGGTCAGACGTCACTAGACAAATATCCTCCATTTCAGTACAGTACATCAGTGAGGGAGACGATGACGATGATGATCAGACGTAACTAGGTAAATATCCTCCATTTCAGTACGGTACATCAGTGAGGGGGACGATGATGATGATGATCAGACGTCATTAGGTAAATATCCTCCATTTCAGTACAGTACATCAGTGAGGGGGACGATGATGATGATGATCAGACGTCACTAGGTAAATATCCTCCATTTCAGTACGGTACATCAGTGAGGGGGACGATGATGATGATGATCAGACGTCACTAGGTAAATATCCTCCATTTCAGTACGGTACATCAGTGAGGTGGACGATGATGATGGTCAGACGTCACTAGGTAAATATCCTCCATTTCAGTACGGTACATCAGTGAGGGGGATGATGATGATGGTCAGACGTCACTAGGTAAATATCCTCCATTTCAGTAGGGTACATCAGTGAGGGGGATGATGATGATGGTCAGACGTCACTAGGTAAATATCCTCCAGTTTCAGTACGGTACATCAGTGAGGGGGACGATGATGAGGATGATCAGACGTCACTAGGTAAATATCCTCCATTTCAGTACGGTACATCAGTGAGGGGGACGATGATGATGATGATCAGACGTCACTAGGTAAATATCCTCCATTTCAGTACGGTACATCAGTGAGGTGGACGATGATGATGGTCAGACGTCACTAGGTAAATATCCTCCATTTCAGTACGGTACATCAGTGAGGGGGATGATGATGATGGTCAGACGTCACTAGGTAAATATCCTCCATTTCAGTAGGGTACATCAGTGAGGGGGATGATGATGATGGTCAGACGTCACTAGGTAAATATCCTCCAGTTTCAGTACGGTACATCAGTGAGGGGGACGATGATGAGGATGATCAGACGTCACTAGGTAAATATCCTCCATTTCAGTACGGTACATCAGTGAGGAAGATGATGATGATAACCAGACGTAACTAGGTAAATATCCTCCATTTCAGTACGGTACATCAGTGAGGGGGACGATGATGATGATGGTCAGACGTCAGTAGGTAAATATCCTCCATTTCAGTACAGTACATCAGTGAGGTGGACGATGATGATGATGATCAGACGTCACTAGGTAAATATCCTCCAGTTTCAGTACAGTACATCAGTGAGGGAGACGATAATGATGATCAGACGTCACTTGGTAAATATCCTCCAGTTTCAGTACGGTACATCAGTGAGGGAGACGATAATGATAATCAGACGTTAATAGGTAAATATCCTCCAGTTTCAGTACAGTACATCAGTGAGGAAGACGATGTTGATGATCAGACGTCACTAGGTAAATATCCTCCAGTTTCAGTACGGTAAATCAGTGAGGGAGACGATAATGATGATCAGACGTCATTAGGTAAATATCCTCCATTTCAGTACGGAACATCAGTGAGGGAGATGAAGATGATGAGCAGACGTCACTAGGTAAATATCCTCCAGTTTCAGTACGGTACATCAGTGAGGGGGACGATGATGATGATGATCAGACGTCACTAGGTAAATATCCTCCATTTCAGTACGGTACATCAGTGAGGAAGATGATGTTGATGATCAGACGTCACTAGGTAAATATCCTCCATTTCAGTACGGTACTTCAGTGAGGGGGACGATAATGATGATCAGACGTCATTAGGTAAATATCCTCCAGTTTCAGTACGGTACATCAGTGAGGAAGACGATGATGATGATCAGACGTAACTAGGTAAATATCCTCCAGTTTCAGTACGGAACATCAGTGAGGGAGACGATAATGATGAGCAGACGTCACTAGGTAAATATCCTCCATTTCAGTACAGTACATCAGTGAGGGAGACGATGATGATGAGCAGACGTCACTAGGTAAATATCCTCCAGTTTCAGTACGGAACATCAGTGAGGGAGACGATGATGAGCAGACGTTAATAGGTAAATATCCTCCATTTCAGTACAGTACATCAGTGAGGAAGACGATGTTGATGATCAGACGTAACTAGGTAAATATCCTCCATTTTAGTACGGTACTTCAGTGAGGGGGACGATAATGATGATCAGACGTCATTAGGTAAATATCCTCCATTTCAGTACGGAACATCAGTGAGGAAGACGATGTTGATGATCAGACGTCACTAGGTAAATATCCTCCAGTTTCAGTACGGTACATCAGTGATGGGGACGACGAGGATGATCAGACGTCATTAGGTAAATATCCTCCATTTCAGTACGGTAAATCAGTGAGGAAGACGATAATGATGATCAGACGTCACTAGGTAAATATCCTCCATTTCAGTACGGTACATCAGTGAGGGGGACGATGATGATGATGATCAGACGTCACTAGGTAAATATCCTCCATTTCAGTACGGTACATCAGTGAGGAAGATGATATTGATGATCAGACGTCACTAGGTAAATATCCTCCATTTCAGTACGGTACTTCAGTGAGGGGGACGATAATGATGATCAGACGTCATTAGGTAAATATCCTCCAGTTTCAGTACGGTACATCAGTGAGGAAGACGATGATGATGATCAGACGTAACTAGGTAAATATCCTCCAGTTTCAGTACGGAACATCAGTGAGGGAGACGATAATGATGGTCAGACGTCACTAGGTAAATATCCTCCATTTCAGTACAGTACATCAGTGAGGGAGACGATGATGATGAGCAGACGTCACTAGGTAAATATCCTCCAGTTTCAGTACGGAACATCAGTGAGGGAGACGATGATGAGCAGACGTTAATAGGTAAATATCCTCAATTTCAGTACAGTACATCAGTGAGGAAGACGATGTTGATGATCAGACGTAACTAGGTAAATATCCTCCATTTTAGTACGGTACTTCAGTGAGGGGGACGATAATGATGATCAGACGTCATTAGGTAAATATCCTCCATTTCAGTACGGAACATCAGTGAGGAAGACGATGTTGATGATCAGACGTCACTAGGTAAATATCCTCCAGTTTCAGTACGGTACATCAGTGATGGGGACGACGAGGATGATCAGACGTCATTAGGTAAATATCCTCCATTTCAGTACGGTACATCAGTGAGGAAGACGATGATGATGATCAGACGTCATTAGGTAAATATCCTCCATTTCAGTACGGTACATCAGTGAGGTGGACGATGATGATGATCAGACGTCACTAGATAAATATCCTCCATTTCAGTACGGTACATCAGTGAGGGAGACGATGATGATGAGACGTCACTAGGTAAATATCCTCCATTTCAGTACGGAACATCAGTGAGGAAGACGATGTTGATGATCAGACGTCACTAGGTAAATATCCTCCATTTCAGTACGGTACATTACCTAAACATATGCCGGTAAAACTCAGTTATCACCATTAAATCAGAATTAACGTTCGCAAATAACAACTGAGAAGACGATAATTCTCTAATTTATACATACATTATTTACATTCTTATGATTTGGGCTGTAAATGTTGGTCCAACATTGGCCCAGCGGATGATATGTTGGTGCGAAAGCTGATCCATCGGTATTGGGTATGCAATGTTGGGCGAACGTTGGTCCAAAATGGTAAATGTTAGCATGAAACATGACCACTATTTGTTGGGCATTTGATGTTGGCCCAACATAGGTCCAACCGAGGAAATGTTGGCAAAAAACAAAGCCAATGTGTGTTGGGATGTAATGTTTGCCCAACATAGGGCCAACCAAATAATGTTGACATGAAACATGGAGAATGTGTGTTGGGCATGTAATGTTGGTTCAATGTTGGCCCAACTTAGTATATTTATTATAATGAGGCATTGCAAACACAATCTCCTTTTTCAAACATCATCTCATTTCAATTCCAAAATCATCTCCTTGGTCACAGAAATCTTGTATAATCCCATAAATAGTATATTAAGGAGCTTATTGTTCACACCACAAGTTGACCATATTTGAATTTTGATTTTAATAAATCTCTCTCTTCACTAAAATCTTGTTTAAGGACATAAATATTTTTATCTAGGAACAATAGATAACATCGTTCTTTGGTCATGTTCGGATTGCATTTGTTTTTCCATATTTCTTCCTCCTTCTTCATTAATTGTCATCAAAGCAGAATCAGTCTATAACAATTGCTGCAATTTCTACATCTGCTGCAAATGCATACAACATATTTTCCCGTCTAGTCTAGTATATCTGTTAAAAAAGTCAATAACATATTTGAATATCGATAAAATATTTATTTTATCATGAAATTCTGATTAACTTTCCTGATACATTTAATCACCCTGTTTATACTAAAAAAAAAAATTCTTACCATTAACACCTTATCATATACTTAATGTTTGATGTGAAATTTTCTTATCTATTTCACTTCTCGTCATGATATACAATGTAAGATACTATGTAATTTCATATTAACTGAATCATTTTATAATGAAGTAGCTAAAGTTTAAAAATGTAATACTGATATACTTACATTTCTTTAAGGACTTATCCGTTAGCCGTTGTTTGCACCACATTTTTAAAAATCCCAATCCTACTCCAACTTCCTCTGCCTTTTTGAGTTTATCAGCCAGCTGTGAGTAATTGAACTTGACAGCTCACCACAAATTTTGGTGTTTTAAGGAGGTTCGATCCTGAGCTTTTGAGCAGATTTTGGTCTGGACCTTTATTTATAAAATTCTGCATCATTTTTAAGTTCAAACATTAAATCTGAATTCTACAATGCAAATTAAACTATATCCAATGAAAAAACCGCGATTAAATTCCATTCAAAGAGGATTAAGCCAGGAACTATATTTCGTGGCGGAAAATTTTTTAGGAGAAAAGGATCATTTTGTCCCCTTTTGAAATATATACAGTACTGTGAAGTTTAGATTCCGATTTTTCCACGCTGGTTGCACACAGAGCTGTTTTTTGCAGTGAAATGTTTTATGCTGGTTCTAAAATATCTATTAAATTATTTCTTATGAATTCTTTCATTATATTGTGACAAATATAGTAAATATATTCTGAAACTCCAGGAAAAAAATTAGCCAATTTTAACATAAAATTAACACTTTTTTAGTAATATCTAAAATTTATATCATAGACCCCCACTTTTGTTTTTATTTTCTGAATATATAAGATATCTTTGACCAATCTGCCTAAATTCAGAAAAAGTTTAAGACTTTAAAATAATTTTCTTGCTTGATAAATTTTTAATGCCAGAAAAATCATATTTTTTGAGTGCAGAAAGGTCAAATAATTGATTATGCGATGCAATTTGAAACTTTTTCTTATAGTCACAATTTTGAAGTGTCTTTTTTTAAATAGACTAATAGTTTAATTTGTCTCATGATTTATTTGGATAAAAACATTGGAGGGAAAACGTCGAAGATGTGATTTTTGATTAAAACACAAATTTCAGTGCAAAAAGGTCATATTAAATGAACTGTAGCGCCAAAAGAAGCATATTGACCCCCATTTTTTGTTCTGATTTTTAATTAAGCTGTGTGTGTAGAGACTAAAAATATACTTGACAAAAAAAGTTTAAGACTTTAAATATTAGGATTCAACCTCGTTAATTGCTGCTACTCTTTCAGTTTTAGCAACTCGCTTAACTTTTATAAAGCTGGCTGGGTTATCTTGATATATGTATACTCAGGCGTCATTCACATCCTGTCCTTGGTAACTTTTAGTTTCTACATTATGCTAATGTAAAAAACTTTTATTTAGTCGTTTCACTTTCTATATTATACTGATGTAAAAAAAAATTTTATTCAGTCTCCTTTAATAGTGAATTCTCGTTAATTCTTTACGAGAGAAACAAGTCTTACAATTACACTCAAATTGTAAGTATAAATAAGTTATAATTAATAAACGGGCACTATAAAGAAAAGAGGAAAACCCCCAATTTTTTGATAAGTGGATACTAATAACAAGAAAGCTGAACATCAATATAATTGTCATCAATAAACTGCATGGCCAGTCTCATTGCTGTGGAAGAAGCTTACCTAATTGCAGAAGTAACAAAAACTAGCAATATATCTGTTGGACCAACATAGGGCCAGTGTACTCATCCCTACATAGAAGAGAACACTCGCCCTAACATAGGACCAACGTTGGGCCAGCGTAGTCTGACCAACTTAAATGATCGTTTCAATAAGGCCTAGGGTATAACAAACACTGGGCCAACGTAACGCTCCCAACTCATGCACTTAGTCCTTTAGTTCGCAGTCCTACTGTTGGGCCAACGTTGGATCAACGTACTCACTCTAACTATAAAAGACAATTAAAAACAAACACTCAAGCTTACACTGGGCCAACCTTGGGCCAACATACTGCTACCAGATTAAATTTTCAACTTCGTTAAGCTTGCATTACAAACGTTTGGCCAACAATGGGCCAACTTTGAACTCCCATCTTCCCTAGAAAATATAGCAAATCGGAATTAGTTAATGTTGGACCAACGTTGGGCCAACGTAAGAATCCCAACATGGTTGGGTACCAAAGAGATGATTCACATGGTAACGTTGGTCCAATGTTGGCCCAACATTGTCTATCCAACGCCAACTATCGGCCAACCATACAACCATTAACCAACATTGGTCCAACGTAGTCATGCTGTCTGGATATATATTAAGCAGCAAATTTTTAACAAATAACCGACTAAAAAAATTTAGTCGATAGTCGGTATGATCGAATGATAGTCGAGTACTCGAATATTTGTTGACATCCCTACTTAAAATAGATTATGAAGAACCTTAAGGTTGAAAATCTTCAATCCTTTCTGTACAATATTTGACATTAAGCAAGCTTAGCAACATTATGAAGCATTAAATGTAAATATTTACATTTCCAAATATTTTTCCTTAAGATTCTTTGCAAATTAGAAAACAATTCATTTCTCATGAACTACAGTGGATGAGCAAGAATATCTCCATTGTGAATTCATAATACCGTACTTGACGTCAAAATTATAGTGCAAACTGTTTTGTCTCAAAATTGATCATTGAATGACGTAAATTTTGCGGCAAATCGTTAGATATATGATGAAAATATAAGAAATAAATTTAATTTTTGAGAATACGTGAGGTACATGAACTATGGTGCTTCATGCCTGCATATTTGATATAAATATTATTTAAGTGCTAACGTGCTTCATTGAATAAGCCGACATGAAGCGTTGTAGTTCATGTCCTCATGAATTCTCAAAAATTAAATTCATTTCTTAAGTGTGTTATTTTTTGACTATGTATATGTTAGTAAATATACAAAAGTGAAATAAGGTTAAGATAAAATAGCAATAGGAGCGACGTAAAAAAGACCCAAAATCCAGCGTTATGTGCAGTTATCCTTTGACAAAGGTAATGAATCTAAATGGTTAAAGAATTGGAAATCAATTTTAAATGATTGTGGATAATAGTCAATAGATGAAAGAATATTGTATATATTCCCAAACATATATCAAGACGTCAAATTTAATGAATTGTTTTCCTCTTAAAATGTGGGTTTATTAAGTAAAGTGTGTATATGTTTATTAGTCCCCTACCGGTGAAACCGGAGGGGGCTATAGGTTTCCTCTAAGTCTGTCCGTCCGTCTGTCTAGCTGTCTGTCCCTCTGTTTGTCTGTCAGTCTGTCCCACTTGGTTTTCCGCACTTTTTTCCTAAAGGCTTGCAGATATTGAGCTGATTTTTGGTATGTGAGTGTATCTTGATGAGTTACAGATCAAATTTGCATTTCGTTCCGCTTCATTGATTTTTGACGGAATTACGGCCTTTTCAATTTTTACGGGTTTTCCGCAATTTTCTTCTAAACGCTTGTAGATATTGAGCTGATTTTTGGTATGTGGCTTTACCTTGATTAGTTATAGATCAAGTTTGCATTTCCTCCCGCTTCATTAATTTTTGACGGAATTATGGCATTTTCAATTCTTAACTGGAACCAGATTACACTTGCCGGTAGGGGACTAGTATTGCTAATGCAATACTCTCAGAATGCTTGTTTACATTGTAAACAAGAGTCAGAGCTCCTGGTTATCAATATTAGGAATTAAATGTTGTAAGCACGATTTGTATATATGTTTTATATTCTGCTCAAGTATCTAAGTCAATGTTATGATTGTAATTTGTTACTTTGATCTCTACGTTGTTAAACAAGCATTCTGAGAGTATTGCATTAGCAATACTAGTCCCCTACCGGCAAGTGTAATCTGGTTCCCGTTAAGAATTGAAAATGCCATAATTCCGTCAAAAATCAATGAAGCGAGA